CAATTCAAACTTATTTAATGCTCAATAAGTTCATCTTACAAAAAGTAAACTTGCGAGGGAAAAAATTAAGAAACAGCAGGAAGAATAGCTTTAAGTCTTATACAGGAAGAGAGAAAATGAATGCTTTTGCTTTTAGATTTTATCTTCCCCAGAGTAAGATGTATGGCAGCTACTGCAGAGAAAGCAATCAGATTCCCAGTTCAGTCCTTACTATTTATGCCTAGAAGTGCAAGTTGCTCACTGGTGCTTCCTCCTGCTCCTGCCATCTTAGCAGAAGGTCACTTGCCAAAGAACAAAGAAGAAAACATTGCTGGGAACACTTGGAGAGAAGTGGAGGGAAAAGTTGACACATTAAGGATTGGATTCTGGAAATCTGTCAGATCTAAGAAAGCCAAGTCCCAAAGTCAAAATCAATATTAAATGGATTCTAATAAACCAGTTCTCATCAAGGATGAGTCAAAAGAATTTGTAAGGCAATAACAGGAAAGGCCTCTGGAACAAATGCTCAGGAAATACTGTAAGTTCTTCTCATAAATTTTGTTTTTCTTGTTTTTTATCATTTCTTACGTATATATTATTATGGCCAAATTTTCCCACTAGTTAGATTTTTCTGGTTTGGAAATATGTATGAAAGGCATGCAAAATATTGAACATATGAGTGATAATGCATTGCTGTCCTCATCCTTTGGTCATCATGTGATGGTATAGCCAACAGAAACCAAAAAAACAACCCCTACATTGCTTTCTTAATCAATTTCTGACATTACAACATAATTTCTGCAACTGGGTCTACCAGAAGCCTTTGCAAATAGAAACAGTCTTACTGTAGCCAACTCTGTTCCATCCAATCTAATTCATTACCCAGTTTCCAGCAAGCTTCCCTTTCATCTTTCTCCAAATCCACAGGGCAGCATTTGCTGGTATTATTTCATCACACTGTTTCACTCATCTAATCCACAGTGCAAATCAAAGAAATCAAATGGCTACTCGGTGTGCTGCCAATCTATCCATTCCTTCTAAGACTCATCCATATGGAAGTTAACACTTCAGAGCAAAGTTGGACACTGCTATGTAGCTACCTGTCCGTTTGTTCTGCAAGCAGCATCTACCTTGCAAAGTTGGATTTTGCTTGGTCAAAATAAAGCAAGTAGCAGAATCTGGAAAATGCCACTAAAGCAAAATAATGTTCAGGAATATAAGGACTATTTTCAGAACTTGCCGTAAGTCTGTTCCCAATTCTGAAAAAGGTATATTGATTGTAATACTGTAGGTTTGTAGCTTTGCATGTTTATTATGTACATATTCATTAGTAAGCATATAAAATTCCACTTCATATACTTTTATCAAAAAAAGTAAAATTAAGTCGGCTTACAATTCTCAAGAATTATATAAACAGTTATAACACATAATTTGAAGCAGAAGAAGGAAAGAAAGATCTTTTGAATGCAATTTAATGAATTGCTATTTGGGTGAAATAAAAGATCAGTTGCTTTTTTGTAAAGGAAGAATAGTGAAACATTGACATGTCATTTTCTCAATATCAGAGTTTCCCAGAACTATCTAGTATGTGTCAGAATAAATTTATTTTGCTAATGCCATCAAAGTTAGATGCCAACTGATAACACATTTTTAGAATCAATGCATGCAGAACTGTCTAAATTCCTTAGAGAGGTCCATGCATAAGGGAAAAGGTGAGGTTCCATTACTTCACTGACATTTTGTACCTCTTGCTAATAGCACCATTACTGTAACCCAATGTACAAGAGGCCATCAATGCATTTTCCTGACTGGCACCATTATTTCCACTGGGAAGGGAAGGCCAGTTTGCACGACATGATTAAAGCCTTTATGTAGAAGAATGTATATACTGCACAGTGTCATAAATCTTAGCAAGAGGCTGTCAAGTAAAATTGAAACCACTTATCTGACCTATCTGCTCCTCCTCAACACATACATGCTACTTAGGCTTCAGTTGGTATACTCAAGATTCTGCAATTTATAATTTCTTTTAGAACAGAATGGGTCCATGTGGTGTAACAAGAAAGTGGCAAAATGAACTGAATATAGAGTTTTCTTCTCCAAAAGAAGATGTACTAACACACACACTATACATGCACATACATTTGCTGTGTAATTTGATCGATATGATCAACGGCAAATATACAAAATACAAAATGTCCACAGATAATAAAAATCTATAAGGGAGGTAGAATAAAAATAATCATTAATGGCAGAGAGAGAATAGATTCTTCCTCAGAATGAAATTGATGGTGCTCATCCTTTAAAGGTAATTGGCAGGAAATTTAAATCCCAGATTTACAAATTCAGGCTATAATTTCTTCATATGCATGTATTGTATGTGGAACTCATTGCAACCTGACAATGAAAATATTGCAATGATTATAGTAAATTGTCTATGCAATGATCATCTACATGCATGCTTCTTCCTAGAATACAAAGCTATGTATTCCTACTCCTGTTAGTTTATCAAAATTTACAGAGAACCCAGATCATTACTTCCAATTACACAGATAACATTTCTCTTAATGATATACACCATAACTCATGATTTTAACAACTAAACAGTAGTCTGAAGTTATATACTCCATTTTATTGCCTCATTCCCAAACTATTCTGTTAGAAACATAAACCTATCTTTATATTCACATGATTCACATGAATAGTCCCTAACTGCATTTCTCAGTGTGAAATGGTCAGCATTTCCAGGCCCTCAGCTATGTAAGGTGACAGACTTGGCAACCATTTGCATCACTAAGAAAACAAGCATTCCTGTAATATATAGTTGTGAAGATAGCTACACAACCTTACAGTTTAATTATCTTCTTCACAAATATTTCTTTCCTAGATCATTCACATCAACAGTGCAACACAAATAAGTACCGGTAACAGCAGCCCCATCTATTTAATGCTGCCCAGACTCTTTTGTGGTAAATAGAAATGGAACTCTTGATTGCACTCTTGCCCCCAAGCATGGTGTGACTTCTCAGATACAATAGAAAATAGACATCTCGATTGTTTACTTGGGCAAAAGCTGCTAGGTGATTATCTCAGAACCTCCCTCATTTCAGACCTTAATCCGAAAGATGGGAAGGTGGAAACCAGTTGAATACTATTGGGTGGGGGGGCTTTTAAAAGTAAAGTCACTTAAACTAGAACACTGGAACTAATCCCTCAGAGAGGCAGTGAGCTCCCATTCACTGAGTGTGATCAAGCAAAGGAAGGACATCTGTCAGTCACAAATCTTTTATTTTATGTTCCTACATAGGGCAGGAGTTTGGACTTGATGGCCTATGTACTAAATGGACCCTTCTTACTTCATTAAGTAAGTTTGTGAAGAAAAGTTGACATCCCCTGCCCCACTAAAAAGTCCATCCCATCTGCCTTCTGAATTCGTTTCCAGGACCTCAGGAAAATTTATAGTAATGCTAAGATGAGAGATCAAAACTATCAAAAAATTGATGCTTGGCTGTCCCAGGTTTCCCTTCTCACAATATTAATTAGAGAGAGGAATGACAATAAGTAGCACATGGCCAGATCAAGACCTATTTATAGCCAGGAAAATGTAAAGAAATCAAATTCTATATTCATTCATTCTTGGTAAGACTGATGCTAATTAAATGTCTCCCACAGGCTCTATGTAAAAAGGACCAACTTACAGTCCCTGTGCCAAGTTAAAGTTTTATTCTCCTATCATTTCCCCAAATTCATTTATTTAAATAATGTTTTAATTTTAAAGGATCATCCTCAGAATATTTTCTCATCTCCTAACCCTGAAACCATTTTCTAGCTATCGTTTCCAGAAGATAAAAGGTAAAAGGAATTACTGCTAAACTGCAATGGATTCTGTAATGAAAAGACTAAGTTCATGAGCTGCCTCCATGAGGAAAAAAAAAAAACTACTCAAACAGAAAACTATGCAAGCAGATTTTCTTGTCATTTTCCCCATCTACCCACATTTACACTAAAAATGTTTCTGTTTACCTTTATTTACTTATTCAATTTGTTACGCACTGCAATGCAATGACTCTTGGCAGATTACATGTCTCCCAATTGAGGAAAGCATAAGTAGTGTATACACAGGCTGAATTGAGAAAAAAGAAGGACTTCATTGGATATTAATTATACTTACTATAATTTAAAAACATCCAATAGACATAAATATACCATCTGCATGAATTCTTGTCTTTTGCACTGAACTTGTCTAAACAGCACTGAAACTACCAGGTTTTTTGGACAAAAGTGAATCTTTTTTAAAAAACATTACTTGTATGTTACGCAATATGTATATGTGTACACATAGAATTCCTACAGCAGTCCAAATATGGACCAAAGGGAGGAAAGACAGAGAAGTGTGAGCAATATTTATATTTCTTACAGATATTAATGGTATGCACAAATGACACATCAATTGATTAACTCCATGTTGTTCAAAATAAAAACACACAAATCAGAAATAGTTATTTTAATTATTTTAATTCTTCCATAAGGACCAAAGAGGCAACATGATTTAAAAAAAAAAAAATATCTGGCAATATGCAAGAAGTATCCAACTGCTAGTCCATATTCCAATAAAGCTTATCATCTTCCTGTTTCAACTAGCTAATAGCCCATTGCCTCAAGAACATGAGTAGATACCATAATAACTCAGGAAAAAAAAACTGTGATTGAGATCTCTGATTTCAGCAACAGAGGCAGGAAGAAGCATCATTTATAAGAAAGGAGATTGTAAAAATAAAGAGACAACAAAAAGCAATTAAATACAGCAGGTCTCATTCATATTTATTAAAGCATGGTTAACCATAGTTAAGAATTAGTTCCTTTGCTGTGCATTAGATCTGCTATTCAGTTGGAAAGCATTTAAAATTATATATTGCCTCTGCCTGGCCTAAGATTTTTTTTTTTTTCACTTAAATGTACACAATATCACAAATTTAATTTTAAGCTGTTTGAATCAGTCTATAAAAAAGATTTGATTATACCTGAGTGTTCTGGCCCCAGTTTTTCCATATCTCAGTAATCTTGGCGGTAATTGGCTGATTAGGTCCCTCACACTCCATCTCTGCCTCAGTTTCCATGGTAATGTTACAGGAGCTATTATAGATGAGAACTTCATCTCTTTCCACTTTAGGGCTGAAACGAGAAGGGAGGTTAAATGGGGTGTCATCAATCTTAATGAAATGCAATTATTTTTACTCTTATTAATCATCGCAAGCCATTAGCTTGTGGCAACTCCAGACCACCATTTGTCAAACTTTGCAAATTTCTGTAATTTTGTTTCCATTCTTTTATTGTTTATTTGTTTTGCTTCCCCCCCCCACACACACCTTTATCTGCAAACCTTTCCAACAAAAAAATACACATAGGAAACATTTCTTAGAGATGCTATCCTGCCAGCCTCTCAAAATGACACACATACACATTCACTTCTAGGGCAGAAAATGAAAGAGAATAGACACTGCTTGAGTCAAAGATGGAAGTAAATCCCAAGTAGCTCTTTTTTCTTACTCACACTTAATCCTGGGGAATGAATAACTTGCAACTCCCTTAGGGCAAGTGCAGAAATTGGAAAACCATATAACTGGCTAACTGGTCCCTAATTCCAACTGTGAAAAAATGAGCTCATTTAGGGTTCCAATTCCTGCTACCCAGCTGATAGCAATGATGCTTTCATGCTAGCACTGGAACATTAACTTAGTAAATTAATTAAACTTACTTAACAGCCCAGGCTAAGCAGATTCGATATATGTGCCAGTTAGTTTAGTGGGGCCCCTTTCTGTACAGTCTCTGTTCACATGAGGAAATGGTAGATGGAGTGAGAGATACTCAAAATTATCAGGGGGAAAACAAATGAAGGGTCATTCTTAATTAGCTCTGCTTGTTGACAGCTGCCTGCTAGGGTAGTGAGCGTTTAAGATTCTAATATCTACGTCTATATACTGAGCAATGATTAGTATGCGTTCCAAATGCCTTAACAAATTTCAGGTTTACTAATCCTTAAGACTGTGTGAAAGGCAGTTAGAACTTCGGTGCCTATCATCACCGAAACCAAGCAGCACAATTCCTCATTAGACTTGCCAACTTCTTTTTACTCCTGTGACTTAAGATGTCACTATGAAAAGATGAATCCCCATCCCCACAAACCATGTTTGTATCTGCAAAAAAAAAGAGAGAGAGAGAGAGAATAGTTGCATGATTGCCTTCAGCAATAATTATTGTCTCAGTCATCAGAGGAGCTAATAAAACTGTTTATTAAATCACTCTGCAAGCTGGCCATAGGACTGTTATATTCTCACTTCTTTGCTACTCTTTTTAAAATCTTAACACCCCAGGAATTAGCAGGAAATGTACTAAAAATCTGACCTGTATCCTGGCTACCCAAATTATTACAGATATCAAGACAAAACATCCTTTGCTACCTACTACAACCCATCCCTTTTTCTTTTTTTTACTAACAAGTTAATCCCAATCAAGTTAGATATAAACAAATTCATTGGGGGCAAGGGTGGAGTTGTGTGGACAATTTTGGAAATTGTAGAAAAATTGCAAAAAAAAGAGTATCAATTATAAGATTGCAGCATGGCAGAACGCACAGACTAGAGCTTACTACACAGGAGATGTCAGGTACACCTTAATTATTGTATATCAGATTGCAATTCAAAATAGAGAAGTGTTGCACAATTGCAAGCTGAAAGGTGATAACCTTCAGTAATGTAGCCACTTCCCTAAACATCAGGCCAATGTATACCATTAAGGAACTGATACCTAGTTATTCAGGTGGGACAGTGATTTGTTGCCATGAGCCCTAGCAGTGATGGAGTGTCTTGAGAGTTGAAGTCCAACATTTAAAGGGCCACTGGTTGTCTAACTCTGCCTTAAATCTACAATGAATCTGCTTGCCAACATTAGCTAGATCAATGCTTCATAGAATTGCTGATATTGCATTTTTATGCAGTAAATCAGAGATGTCAAACTTGCGACATCACGTGACGTCACGCGATGTATTGGGACAGTTTTGCCATTGCCAGCAATGGGGTCGGCGCGGCTTCCAGATGATGCGTCCAGCCTGTGGTCCGGCAGTTTGACACCCCTGCAGTAAATCAACATAACTGAGATAGTTTTTTTATATATCTGTATGTCATAATCCCTAATCTTTTTCCTGCTGCAGCATTCCATAGATTTTGCTTTGGACTGGGCACTATATATTTTGAAAGAAATGTGTAAGATCCCCGCTAGAGTAAAAAAAAAAAAAAAAGCTATATCTAACCTGAGAAGGAGGCCAAAAAAGTGGACATTGGATGAGTTGATAGAGGTCTTGTTAGATCTTAAAGAGGAATAAGCCAAATCATCACAAAAGAATAGGAATGGGGTGGCTGCTGTAACAGCATCAGCATTGGCTTTGATTTGAATGTCACACTGGATCAGTGCTGCACCAGCTGCTTTGCAGTCTTCGCCATTCTCTTCTGCAGAATAGGTCATAGTACAGAGAACCGCTAGAGATGCTGAAAAATGGGGGTTGGGGGATGAGAGGACATCAAGAATTAGAGAAATATAGAAGGAAGTCTCCTTTTCCCAGTCCCCCTATTGATTATTTGCAACACTTTCACTGCCACTCTTAGTTTTCAACAGTTATTGAGACTTGGTAAAATGTTTATTGTATTTCCAAAGTTAAAACACAAATTTCAACAGAAAAAAGGGAAATAACAACAAAGCAAAAACTATATAAGACAAAATATGCATTAAAATATATACATATATTGTCCCCCCAGTTGAATACTGATATATATAGTATATTTTTAAAAATTACCTTTGCAAAAAAAAAAAAAAAAGCTTTACAATTTATAAACTCTATTTGCCCAGGCAATTTGACTTACCATGTATTTACTGTTTTAAAAAAAAACAGTTAACAGGTAAATCCAACAACAAAACTAAATTTTAAAGGCCTTTGTTAACAATCTATTATTGTATTTCACACATAGAAAGTCCCCAATGGCTTCTAATCTACCATAAACCACTGCAGTCATTTTCTCTCATCTGTCCAGGATCAAATATCTTTGATTGATTCTTAATAATAAACTTTTTCCTTAAAACTATAATTGGGATATTTCCCAATAATTGCATTTTATTCTCCAAAATCATAGTTCTTTGTTGTGAATATCTCTGCAGCATTTGTTGTTCAGAAGTTTTTTGTGCAAGTTGAACCACAACATCTCTTGACATCATCTTTTGACTGAATATAATAAATCTATATAATATAATATAATAAATCTATATTTCACAATCTCCATCAGCTTTCTTAAGAAAGTTCAATTCGTCATTGATCCATGCAACCTATCTCTAAGTCTTTTAAATTCATGCCTCTTTCAGCCTTCTCCAAAGAGCCTCCAATTCTCAAACAAAGCTTCTTCGCTTTCCATTCTCTCAGCAACAAATTGACTTCCAATTCACCCAATTGCAAGTCTGATTTACCTGCTGTTATCTGTACCTGAGTATCATCCTTAGGTTGATTTATGACTGTTGTTAAATATCAAATCTTTTATTTAAATTTTCATTCAGAGCTTGTCAGTTGAAAAGCATTTTTTCCCCCCAAAGGCTTCCAAGAAGACTTTGACATTAAGTTGATGAGGCTCTCACCTTTCCTTTGTATCTCTTTTTGTGGGCATTGTAAAAAGTATATAATGTATAGTGTTAATCCTTAATATGCAGTTGCTTTCATTTTAATATAATCCAAATTTCTTTTATACCTGGACTTTCACAACAAAACATAGGCTGTGCTGAAAATAAATGGCTCAGGGCCCAACAGGGACAACACTTTGAGATCACTGGAATATGGAGATGATCCTGGAGTTAACGCAAATATCAATATAGAGGTGATCTAAGTAAACACTGCTGTCAGTTAACTCATGATATTAATGTTAAAACCTGTGATTTTGTTATGAATACCACTGTATCAGTCAAAGTTAATGTTTCATTATACTCTGTCATTATAAACCACCATGGAAATATATATATTGTATGTAAATACTGCATGTATATGTTTTTGTGTGTGTTTCTTTCCTACTCCCCAAATATCACTTTTATAAAAATAGCTCCCCCCCCCAATCACCTTAAGAATGTAGCTGTGTCCATGGAATCTTGTATAAAGTGATAAAATAAAATAAAATAAAAAGTGAAGTTCAGACTAAATTTGATAGATTTTTTTTAAAAAAAATCCAACAATCTACAATTAATATCAATATTTTCAGAGTCAATCCAAAGATTTGCCTATATGTAAGGCAGGAAAAATTGTTTCCGGTTCTGTGAAGAAAGGTTTTTCCGTGGACCGGAGGAGGTGTGGTTTCATGTACTGCCTGCATCCCACGGATGGGGCTTTGCTTTTTTGCATGGCCCAGTTTCTGGCATGCCGTGGCTCGGTGCCGGTCCACATACCGGGAGTTGGGGACCCTTGGTTTAGATCTTACTCTTCCCACTACTCTGCATGGCTGTGGAAGTGTCTATTTAAACACAAATAAAAATATTATGGAAATGAGATAACTACAAAGCTCCCAAGACTATTGCCTTATATTATAAATGAAGGAAACTTGGCAATCCAGAGTTGTGGTGGTACATTCTCCAGGATTCCTCAGCACTGGTAACATTGAGAATTTTGGATCAGCAACATCTGGAAAGTTATGGGTTCTCCAGCTGAACTCTTTTTCTTAAAAATAAATTCCACTCAATTCAGTGCAAGTTACATGTATGTTTGTGTGCATACATATACCCATAGTTGCACTGTAAGTCGAACTAAAAGGAGGAACTAACTGAATGCCATTTTACATAATACCCTAACAAATGTTGACTATGGAAAAGAGAAAAAAAACCTCACAACCTCTGTAAAATTCTTAAAGGACAATGGCAGCATCTTAAATCAGTTACTAAATCTGCCAATTGAAAAGGTCAATCTGGAGCTAAAGATTCTACTTCTGTTCTTTTCTGTGTCACACAGTGGAAGAAAGAAAAGACATGGAGATTTTAGCACCTTTGTTTTTGGATTTTTCAGAGATCTACAGAAAAAAAAATATTTGGAACCAACCATAAAAGAGATATATAGAACTGAAGGAATTTGATTCTGGAAATTTATTCTGAATATCTGAACTGCAAGGTGCTCATTATCTTTATTAAAAATTCTTTCCTGATTTTTCTAGGATTTTTAGCATTATCTATTGGAACGATGCCCTCCATTTTTTATCATCACTCCTTTTCTCAGCTTCTCAGCTTCCCCTTCTGAAAGGATCAACTCAGATTGATCCATTTTTTTTCTGCAACGAAGGTGATGCAAAGTATCCATTCAAGCTTTTCTATCATCTCCTATCCTTGTTAAATGTTTCTTTCTTTCTCTTGATCTCCTAAAATTTCTTCCATTTTAATCTTTCTAACAATAGATTTCAGAACCTCTTCTTGTATCTCTTATTATGTCCTTAAAATTCTTCATTCTTCACAAACTTCAACAACTTTGTGTTTTAGCTTTTTTCCCCTATTTAAACAAGGCTTCCATATCCTACATTAATGACATTAATAACCATCCTGTTATCATCTCTGATGCACTTCAGGAAGAAGGCAGCAAGGGAGAAGATCAACAAGGCTTCATATTCTGAGGAATAAAACTAGCCATAGAATAACAGATGAGCTCTTCCTGTCTCTTCAGGCCATTTATAACTCTGCTAGTCTGAAGCCTAGACAAAATACTTTTTTGCTATTTGAAAAAAACAGCAAGAGGAGGATGAGATTATGTCAGCAATTGTCTTTGCCTATTAACTACTCCAGTATTACAGTGTAATAAACAGATGCCAAATTGACACAAATCTGAGACAGGATGAGTTATTTCTTACAACATGCAGTATTGCTTATTGTATGAACAAGCATCTTTTTTCAATCCATGGAGCCACCATCATCATGTGTCTTCTCAGAGAAATGCAGAACTCAGACCTAATCCTAGGCCTCAGAATATTTTCTGTTCTTTAAAAATATTTTGATTTTCTCATTCTAGTCTTCACTGTGGGAGAAAAAGTGATGTAAGGATTTTGCCTATTCTTGACATTCTTCCTTGGGTTCATAACATAACCAATGTTGACTATTCCTCTCAGCCTGCCTTTGATTTAGCTCAGCTGGTTTATTGTAAACTAAAAACCTCAGATATTTCTTCTGTTACTCAAACTTTTATTTGCAGGCTATTTCTCAAGTTCTGTCTTCTTCTACTAGCAAAAGTAATCAGTATGTGGTTTGAAGCAACTGCACAACACATATAATAAAAATAATGAAAACTCTCAGTATAATATCAGTAATAGTAATCAATGTTCATTTACTGACATCTAATGGCAGTTTAAAATATTGCAAGAACTAACAACTACATTTCTTATGAATGAATGTAATCCAATTGGGAAATTCAATGCAATGGTTTTTGTATATTTCATAATTTAGCTGAACTCATTTTACTCTGATGCTTAGAAATTTATTTTTGTATAGTTTAAAGTGGATGTTTCCTAAATTATTTACCACAAAAAAGATATGTAAGATATCAAAACATTGTGGGAATGTTGGCAGAGAACAGTAATTCAGAAATATATTAAAAAATTGTGAGTTCACTTGTTTTATAAGAGAATGTAAACCAATAAAGGAAAAGCTGATAAGCAAAGACAGGCAAGGAAAATGTTTTGAAAACTTAAATTTATACTAACTTACCTTTTTTTCCCTGAAAGTGAAGATTGTTCTTATTATTAATTCCAGATTATTTGACATGTTTATTATTTCAGTAATTTAGAAATAAAATAAACTTATAAAATATTAATTTATTGTTTATTATTAAAACAATTTGTGCTGAATGTTGACCTCACCTTATCTCATTTTAGATGTGGATGTTTTTACAAGGTCAAATTGGTTTTGTAGCACCCTTTATAAAAAAAAGTTTCTAAAAGACAGCAACCTTCTGTACAATAAATTATTTCCTACTAGCACTTGAAATATTCTCTCCCCTTCTGTTTCTTTTTTTAGGAACAAATATAGTCAGCTAATTGATTATGCCTAATCTCTCTCTCTCTCTCTCTCTCTCTCTCTCTCTCTCTCTCTCTCTCTCTCTCTCTCTCTCTCTCTCTCTCTCTCTCTCTCTCTCCAATGGAGGTTTCCCTGGTTTCTTTAGATTGTATGAGAATCAGTTACTCTAGTTTGTTTCTCTCATCAGAATACATTTATTACTCTGACTTGTCAACAGAAAAATAACAAAGCAACTTTACATATAATAATAAAGAAACATACCGATGTATAATAAACCTACAATTCTACAACTTTGGCTGAGGATTTTAACTTTTCAGAAAGAAGATATTTGTAAAGACAAATTATGGTTGCTTTAGAAAGATAGGTAGTTGCCTTATCATAATTTTGGCAGAACAGAAAAGAGTAACAACTCATGGCAAGTTCTAGGACATTTTTCATCCAGTGTGTTTGATGTCACATTTTCTAGATTTTACAGAGAAGAGAAGAGAAGAGAAGAGAAGAGAAGAGAAGAGAAGAGAAGAGAAGAGGGGAGGGGAGGGGAGGGGAGGAGAAAAGAAGAGGGGAGGGGAGGGGAGGAGAAGAGAAGAGAAGAGAAGTTCTGACTTTTAAAAAAACGTATGAACTCTTTTAAAAACCATTAAAAACATTTGCATGTTAGGGTTTTCTTTCCAAGAAACAAATTGCACAGAAAGAAGATGATACAGGCTTAAGAGTCAATATATGAGCATGTCATATAATAGAAATCAAAATCAGTTTATTCTAAATTATCCCCTATAAAATTTTTCATGGATATGTGCCATATTCTTTCAGGTTCATATTGAAGGACAATCCCTAATTTCTTACCAGTTTCTTTTATTATATTTAAAATGGCAGCAAGAGATTCACACTAATGTTTTATACCCATAGCAGTTAGAAGCAGTTGGCAGCGCAGTCAACATATTTTCTTTCTCTATCAATTAACACATCTCAGTCATTCCACTGACCGTTCAAAGGCCCCGTTAAGCAGCTCAGATCAGTTGTGGTGGTCACATTCAGCATTTCACAAGGAGAACCACAAATGGAAACTGAGGTATTTCCTGGAGAAAATCCATTTCCATGCATATATATTTCTCCTCCATCAAGATTGCCTTGAAAAAGAAATAATGTGCAAAGCATTTCACAATTTGCTATTGCTGAAATTTGTCATCCGCAGCTTCCCATTACACTTTAGAAATGCAATACTATGTTCTGGAAGACAGTCAATAATATAATATATAAAAACAATGAGTGTTCTTGTTCCTTTCATGAATCTTTAAGGAAAGTAATATAATATACAAATAAGATGGCATATAAGTATGAAGAGTAAAACCTTACACAAAGTGTAAGCAATTTTCATTTGTTCTTTTCTATTTATTTTCTTTTATTGTGGTCTTGGAATGGAGCAGGAGAAAATCTATTTTCTTGGTAGGGTTTGCTTTTGGAAATGTTTTTGAGCCTTTCCAAAACTCACCCAAAGAGAGGCTTAGCATGTCTACTTTCAATATTAATGTGTATACAAAATAATTAGGCTACCAAAAATCATTCTGTAGAAGTAGGATTTTGAGAGGTTTTGGGAGCAAAAAAAAGTAGAGGAGCTTATAGTGTCCTGAGAGTCTCTGATTACCCATCCCTGTTTTATCACTCCAGACAACACACACATAAACTCTAAGATGGATAGCAACAAATTTAAACTTTAGTATAAAAGGTTATTATTAATAACCTGTTAGAATCCCACTGCTATCTTGTAATGTGATCTATTAACACCTTGTAATGCCCTTCATTTGACAATTAACACATGGTCTTGCTGGCCATCTACTTTCATGAAGCATGTCTCCAAACATAGAATGACTAAAGAAAGTCAACATAAGGTGCTGAAAGTCAGCTATGATACTTGGACTTTGTCTCAAAGCTACTAATGGGATTTTGGAACTAAGATGGCGAAGCATTTCTGCTATTAAAAATGTGATATCACAAGTGTTTTCTGAACATCAAACAAAAAAAAGGTTTTTATGTTTTGTGGCAGGATAACAGATTGTCATAAGAAAATATAAGCATGATGTATGTGTTAAAAGAAAACAATCTATGACTTGCAAGAAAAACCATATGTTTATCACTTTGAGGAAAAATTCTAATCTAGAATAGCAAATTATTTCACAAAAACAGCAAGATTCCAGTCAAATGTAATTCTGAAATTTTAAGTTTGCTGCTATAACTCCCCAGGTCTGCTTCTCAGATCAATTCAATGAGATTACAGACTTATGCTCCCCAGAATCATCTACCTACTTACCATGGCTGTTTTCCACTGTGATAACTGTCAGGACTGAAGTGAATACCAAACTTGAGGAAGCCCAACCTCTCTGCACAATCCCGCCGGTCACATTATGTTCTCCAGTGGGAAGCTGAGGAAGCACACATTGCAAACTGGTACCATTGCTAGTAACATTGGTGCAGGAAGAGCCTCCAATGAAAACATACATGTCTTCCATTTGCCTAACTTTTGAAACCATTATTGTCAGAAATTGGCCTGTGGAAGGCAGAAGAGAGAGGAAAACTGGGGTGAATTCTTCACTGTAGCTTATTTCCCCAGCAGGATATGACATATTGTCTATGTCAAGTCTCACAATTGCAGTCCCTTTGCCTAAAGGCACAAGGCACGTAAGGGCCCAATATGTGACTTTGGTGAGGAGACACTTCTGATTTCCTATGAGAACTGAAGTGCTGCTCCTGCCTTGTAGTGCTGCACCTTCTAAGGTGAGGAGGCCTCTGCCATTGACACTGAAATTCTGGGGATAAAGATGGAGCACCTCAGGAGTAACTCTGAAAATATTGGAGTCTTTCTGTCTCAAGCAGGCTGCACCCCAGTCTCTGCTCAATATTGAAATGCTATGTTCTTTTGCATCAAGGCTGTGCATCTGACATTCAATACTGGTTTTGTTCAAAGAAGTTATATTGCAAGGGAGATGTCCATCTACCTCTATAAAGATTTCATCCACTGGCCAAACTAATTTCTGAATTCTGATTAACAAGTAAATGAAGATCCCAGCAAACCTCACAGTGACAGCATCAATAGTAAGAGTGTTGTTTGCAAGAAGATGGAACGAGCAGTCGCCTAGGCAACGGCCATACATTCCATTGACTTTCACTGTGATATTAAGAGCTTGGCGTACATCAGGAAACTGCTGATCATCCAAAAGAGGATCACTTGAAAAAAATGCACAGATTATACTCTCTTCATTTGAGCTCTGGACCTCACAAGATAAGTTGCCTGTCAGATTTACCCAAGTAGAATTTCTCCAAGATTTGAGAAAATGGCCAGATATTGTGAGCAGCTGCCCACCACACACTGAGCCACGAGATGGAAAGATAGTCTTTATCTCTGGGTATACTGTCAAATGCTGCATCTCAGCTGGTATGTTGGCAAAGCCCATTTGCTTCTGGAGAACACTCATAACATAGTGCCCTGGTTCTAGAACACTTAGAGGTAAGGAACACTGAGACCAAGTTATAGAGTGGTTGATCTTCTGTACCTCAAGTTGACATTCCGCCTGTGCCAGGATAGCCACTGAATTTGTTACATTGACTCCTTTTATGCCTAGGCGCAGACTATGGTTCAATAATTCTATTTTAATGTTCATTATATTTGGAGTTAAAGACATGTTGTAAAGAAAAGTGTAATTCTTGAAGATTTTCATTTGAAATGGGTCTACCAAAGACCGGTTGCCTATGTACACCTCTATATCTGCCAAAAGAGTTTTGAGAATGGTATTAGATGGCTGAGTGGGTGGTGGAGTCCGACATAGAATTTTATCTTCAGTTAGACTGATTATAGTACAGGGTTGAAAATCAATCAGGACTAAGACCAAGGCTGGGCTGTAGCTAAAGCCTATTCCAGAAATGGTGAGCAATGTTCCACCTAGGAAACAGATAAAAATGTTAGTGAATATTAACTTTTTTCAAAATTAATATAATTTGAAAAATTATATTTCTATTGTTTTAATATTTAATACAGAATAAGATGTCCAATAAGGCAACACAGAAGCTTGGGATATTAATTGTTTCAGAGTTTTGTTTTTTCCAGTATTTTAAATTCTTTATTTATGTTTTATTGGTGTTTCTGTATTTTAAATTATATATTTGTGGTTTATTGTTCTAAGACTTTGTCAATTTACTACAATACACGATATAAATGAGTTATAAACAAAACCTTAATAGAAAGAGCCTTGGTGATGCAGTGATTAGAATGCAGCATTGCAGTCTGACTCTGCCCACTGCCAGGAGTTCAATCCTGAATGGCTCAAGGTTGACTCAGGCTTCCATTCTTCTGAGGTCAGTAAAATGAAGACCCAGATTGTTGGGGGCAATATGCTGACTCTGTAAACTGCTTAGAGAGGGCTGTAAATCACTGTGAAGTGGTATATAAGTCTAAGTCAGTGGTTCTCAACCTTTTTAATGCCGTGACCCCAACCGGTCATAAGTCGAAGACTACCCAACCGGTCATAAGTTGAAGACTTTCCCTGCCTGGGAGCACCACGCATGCGTGGTGCCACTCCCTGCGCTGGCCAAGGTGTAGCTGGCAAGGGGCAGTGAGGGCGCAGGGTGACCACCGGCTGGGCCACCAGCTGGCCCAGCCCAAGGGAGGTAAGGCACCCGCCGGGCCCCACAGGCACCAGCAACCCTCCCTGTGCCCGCCGGCCTCCCACCTCCCACCCCTGGCCCTCTTTTACTTACATTTTTAGTAGTTGCTCAGCAGGGAGGGGTGGAAGCTTCCAGACAGCTTGCCTTCGCTGCAGACAACTTGCAGCACCGTTTGCAGACTGGGGCTTTTGGTGGGCTCAGCAGGGCAGAGACAGCCTGGACAATTCCCATTGGCTTTTGAAAGCCAATAGAATTAGACTCTATTCAAGAGAGTCTATTCTATTGGCTTTCAAAAGCCAATAGAATAAAAGGGAGTAGCACAGCTAAGGAAAAGGGGGGGAAAATGGCGGACTGCGTTGTTTGGCGACCCCCATGAAATGGTCGTTCGACCCCAAATAGGGTCCCGACCCACAGGTTGAGAACCGCTGGTCTAAGTGCTATTGCTATAAAGAATAAAATCATGTTCAACCATTTTCACTAATTATATGGTAATGTGAAATAGATTGGGTCTCAGGTCCTTCACCCTTTGGTGCCTTATTTATTTGCTGGGTAACCCAAATTCTCCCTAATAACCCATAGACAATCTGCCCACAACCAAATGGGGGGGGGGGGAATCAGCACTTATACCAAATAAGCTACTAGGCCCAGCCTATGCATTACTGCTCTAAGTGGAAAAGGTTAAGGGTAGAAATTACACAGCCTTGGAAAGTATTTCTTTCCTCTATCCTGACATTAGGTGTAGGATGCACCTCTTTGCTTTCCTTGCACCTAAGAGAGATGGAAGCCATTTACTCTTTAGGGAAAACCAGAAAAACTATTTTGTTTTCTGGACATAAGATTTAACTCCATCCTCCATTCCTATTAGTTTTGCTAAAATAATTAGCCCCCATGAACTCACTAATGGTAATGTCAGAAAGGGTGGGAACGAGGAAGAATTTGAAGCAAAACTGGAAAATGGGAGTTGAGGATAGGAAACCATATTCTAAAAAGTTAATTACAAAATAGGAACCAAATGGTCTGGCTTAAGATTTTTCAGTGCAAAGGTGATATATTATATTCATCCCTTAGGTAATTGGACGGTTTGGAAAAAACATACTGGATACAAATGTAAGTATTGGACCATTTGATCTCTCTCATAAAATAGACTGCAGGCATCATCCATTAAATGTGATCTGCTCAACATGTATTCATATTTTCCAGAGTCTCTTCTCAGTCATTCCAAGTCTTTTCTTAAATACGTACAAAGCAATGATATTATTTACCTAGGAAGGAGCCACAACATGGTTCTATTCTGAAGATCTCTGTAACATACTGGATGAATGGCTCCAGTCTGGAAAACAAATAAATTTCTTACTGTCAAGTGAACATGGTTTTGTTTTTTGTTTTTTTCCACCAACTGCAAAGAGTTTTAATTCCATCCTTAATTAACTCAAATGTCACTTGCCTCAATGGAAATGGCAGATGTAATTTGCAAGACATTCAGTTTTGGGTTTGGTCATGATGCTGTAGGTACAGAATGCATATATTCTTGAACATACACGAAAAGTCCTACCTACCCCTCTGCTCAATTGCATGTGATCCCCAGCTGACTGGAAGAAATCTATTTTCCTTCCAGCTTCTCAAGCTAGCCTACCAGAAGATCTTAGGTGCACTGTTTTCAAAGAATAGAATAGAATAGAATAGAATAGAATAGAATAGAATAGAATAGAATAGAATAGAATAGAATAGAATAACTTTATTGTCATTTTGAATGTACACTAATCAGCATACATCAAAATTACTTTTTTGGGCATACAGCTCTCATACAGTACACCTTCAATATACGCTACATAAATATGACATAAATAAATAAATAAATACAGAATTATGCATATACCCACATATATTATAAGACATAGAGAAACAACACAGTCTAATTCAGATGTATACATGGGCATGGTGAGAAAAATGAATCTTACAAGTTTACCATACGGATGGTATAGGATACATTTACTTCTTCTTCTTTTTTTTGAAAAAAGGAGAGCAACATCCTACTGTGTGCAGTTTTCAGAAGGGCAGATAAATGAAACTGCAAATACAATATTGAACATTTCATAATAATCTAATCAAGAGAACATTATTTATAGAGCTTTTGGTGTTGCCCAAGATAATCACAGATCCATCTTGTCAACACATGCTGACAGATAGGCATCTGGTTCCATTCTTGCTTATCTCATTATTTCTCTTAAAATTCTATTATGGTGTAAATTTTATCCATGAAAAATCAGAGCCTCTTACCCACTCGTGTTGAGTGGGAGATGATGAAGGAATATTGAAAGTCTGTGCAATCCTTCTGCAAGGGAAGGCAGCAATAAACTGATTCCATGATCTGCTACTGTTTGAATTTGAACTGCAGTGTCCCCAATTTTGACCTTCACATCAAATGGAGCATAATTGGAAAATGAAGAAATACCTATCTCAAGCAGCTGACCTCCTGCAATGAAGAAAAAAAAGTAGACAATACATTTTTGTTATAGCTAGTGGCACAAACCCAGATGTCCATATCTTGTTTTATTTCCACATTGAAAGATTGACAATATGCTCATGTTTTAAAACTTTGCCTGAAATAAAACTTTCTATAGAGAAGCCCATTTGGTTCTGCTTATTATCTCCAAAAATGCAGTTCTGTAAGACAAGGGGAAGGTGATAAGAAGGACATTGAAGCAAAAACTATCTGACAATTTAGCCTCAACACCTGGCAGTCAAATGCATTGTGCTCTTGATAAAAATCCTGCAACAAATCTCAGTGGCTGTTATGTCTCAATTCTTTCATTCTACCAATATGCAAGTTATACACTGCACTCGGAAAGTATTCAAGGATAATACGGGATTTTCTTTACATTGACAGTCATCACTCCTGTTTGCACTTGCAGTCTTGACAGGTATAATTGGATATTAGATAGCCTCCTGGATCTCTCAACCTTTTTCATTCAATGATGTGCCTAAGCAAATCTGCCAATTGGAAGCATGACTAACAGCTGGGAATGTACTAAGCAAGCACAATTTTTTTTGCCTAGGTTTAGTTGAAAGGAAAACGCTGAAAAGGGTGCATTTGAGATATTAATGAGAGAATCCTCACAGCAGCATTTTTTCTATCAAAATTATCCTGCCCACCCAACATGATGCCTAGTGAATAGAATAGTTGTGATCTTTTTTTTATTCTGAACCACTACATTTTAACTACTTTATTGCCTAAATATGCAAAACACTTTCAAACGATACACTGAAAGATATAAATATTGGAAAAATCAAATAAGAATAGAAGGAAAGAACAAAAAACTTTTCTTTCCCTTTTACCTGTTATGCCACTTTTATTTCTGTTCATTGACACAATGCACGGATTTAGAGAAGAGTCATATGTAAAAGCATTGGCAAAGATAGTGAATTCACGTTCACTGATTAGGGTTAGATGAACAGTAGCCTCTCCTCCTCTCTAGGGGAAGAAAGAATGACAAAAGATTGATAACATGTCTGTTGTCCATAAAGTAAACTGAGCTCCAGGATTATGTGGTGAAAGCCCAGAATTAAAAAAAAAAAATTCTCTAGATCTTATTCTAAGGTTTTGAAATCAATCTTCCATCTGTTTCTGCTTCTTAGAGCTGCTATCCAAGGCACTCTGACATTGCCAACATTCTACTCACAAAAACAGTTTGTGGCCAACCTTAGCTCTCCTTCTTCCAGGGCATAAAAAACAAGAATAGCGAGTCAGATCTTATTATTACCTGCCCAATAGGAAATATTAGGCACATGCAAACACTGAAGTAGGGGTATCCAACTTTGGCAACCTTTAAGACTTTAAATTTGGCTGGCTAGGGAATTCTTGGAGATAATGCCCACCAGTCTTAAAGTTGCCAAGGTTAACACCTCTGCATTAAAGGCAGCCCAGGTGCTAGCTTGGAGGACACTGGCAGAGGGGATGCTGGGCTCCCTTTTTCCTGTTCCTTGCTCTGTGCCTTCAAGGAATAGGAGCTGGGCCAGAGATGGAGTGAGAAGCCACTAGTGTTGCTGTACCATCTTGTTCTCCGCTGCTACCCCCAACTAACCTTTTGCCTCGGCAGGAGTAGATCTCCCCGCCATCTTCCATTTCTACTTTTCATTATTTGGAAAGCAAGAGAAAGAGGACTAGACCACATAAAAAGAGCCCTGATGGCTTCCCCTGTTCTGTTCTCCCAAGGATTAAGTCTGCTGCAGTGATCAGGAAGAAGTAGCTCAGGGAGTCATTTCTTCTCTTTCTTCCATCTCCTTTCAATTGCTGCAGTCTGGGGAAGACTTGGTGCCTGCTCTTTCACCAATAGTTCCTTTGAGGTTCAAAGGGCTCTGCTTATGCCCTGGGAGTGTTCAAAGAATAGCACCCTATCATTGGCTCCTCCCATCCATTCAGACAGACCTGGTACTCAATCTGGAGGTCATCCTGGACTTATAAATCCAGTGTGAAGAGCAGGTAGCAACTATGGCTCAGAGGGCCTTTGCATACTTCTGAATAAACAAATCCATTTGTTTATTCATTGATTTATTAAATTTGTAGGGTTGCCCATCTGATCAAATTGACCTTGGAGTAGGGCCTTTGCTCACAGTCACTCATGCCCTTCTGAACTGTCATCTGGAATACTACCATGCATTCAACATAGAACTTCCCTTGAAGAACATTTGGAAATTTTCAGCTGATGTAGAATGTAACAGCATGGGTAGTTGATTATTAGATCCATATAAAGCCACTACTTTATGAGCTATGTTGGTTGCCAGTGTGCTTTTAGGTTCAATTCAAGGTTCTATTTAGTACTTTTAAAGCCTTGCATGCCTTGGAGCCTCATTACTCATGGGATCACCTCTTCCCAGTTGTTTCTATTTAACCATTCTGGTCTGGCAAGATGGGAAAGTTATGCTATTGGCTAAGGTATTCAGTGCAGCAAGGCACAGAATATAAGCCTTTTCTATCACAGTGCCCACCATTATGCTTCCTCCAAAGATCAGATTGACGCAGCCTTGTTGGCCTTTCATAAGGCCTAAAGACCTGCTCCTGTGGTTGGGCCATGCTCCAGATGCATGAAGGATCTGTGGGTGATGATTTGTTTTCTCAGCTGCTGTATAATCTAATTTTTGTATAAATATTTGTGTTATTTTTTTATTCTGTTCTGCTACCCAGAGTCATTCTTGAGATGGGAAGATATATAAAATGATTGAATAAATAAATGACAGCTAAATTAAATATAAATCAGCTCAACACTGCTGCTCAACACTCATAGCATGAGATTACAGAGGTTCAGAACAGGTTTTGGAACATTATAAAGCCCGCAGTGGAAGTTCAGTTAGTTCAGCTTGTCCATAACTGCATAAGAGAGAATTTGGAGCTTCCAAATAAGAGTTGAAATTTCATTACAGCCATGGACTAATTAAAATAGTACTGAAGGAAATGCTGAAGGAAATATGTGACAACATGCTGAAATTGACAACTTCACATATTCAATTCTCACAATGTTTGTATCCCGACATTAGCAGTTTGTATTCTATACTGCACCCCTTGTAGAATAATATTCAATGTAACATGAAGGGAACTCTATGCAGCCTTGTCTGTTCCAATTATGATTAATTAAACATATCCTAATTTTTTCAGATTACTGATCAATGAGTTATATCTTGCAATTTTATTTATAATGAGGCAGGTATTAGCTGTGCCATTATACCCCTTATTTTTTTATCTCTAATTACAGCGCCATGTGCAACAATGAAGAGGAACACAAATAAACAATTCAAGTAAACCTACATGTAATTAATTTTATATTCTCATAAGGAAAAATAATAATTCCAAAAAGATAAACAAAACGCACATTTTCTCTCACACACACCCACATGATTTTATAGTCATCAAATCATCACAAATGAGTCTGAATTGTTATCGTCTTTCAATATAATTGAAGGTGTTATTTACCCTAGGAGGAAGCCTGCATTCCATTTTCACTGCATTGCTGGCATTGAAATTGATAGGACAAGATTGAGAACCAAAGAGCACTGTGTTTATCCCATCTAAGCCTGAACCTGATAGAGTCACTGTAAGTCCTCCTAAAAATGTACAAGGAAGGAAGGAATGAAATAATTAAAAAAAGATATAGTATGTACAAACATATATAATCCACGACTATAAAAGGAGCACAAAACAAATATGTTACAAACACAAGAGATTTATCTTGTTTTTCTTTCACAGTCTTATATATGGCTCAGAACCACAATTGTAATTTCCTAGAAAGAATAGCAAACAAATAGTCCTAGCATTTCAATGCATTTGCTCATCTTTCAATTCACACCAGCATATATATGTGCTTATCGAAAATAAGTATGATTCAGACATACCTATCTCCGAAGCTGTTAAAGGTTCAACAGAAGTCAATCTAGGTGTAATCTTCAGGAAGATACTATTTTCTCCACTGGCATTGACTGCAAATCCAAAGGGTCTTACCAATAATGTCACTTTATACAATCCAATTGGTAATACATTCATCTGACAAAAGACATTAGTATGGTTTGAACTTAGGATTTTGCAAGTTAGGTTGTTTGCTTCTATGAGCAATGATTGATGGTCTGCAGTGAAGCCAGATCCTATAATGTGAACTATTATGTGTTCAGTATCATCTGAAAATTCAAAGAAAATAACATACTAATTTATTGCATATTCCTTCAAGTTATGCCAATACATATAGATATTACGTTACATTAAAATTAACATAAAATACAATACAGTAATATAGCAATAGCCCTTAAGTTTATATACAGTCCCATGGTGCTTTACAGCCCTCTCTGAGTGGTTTACAGAGTCAGCCTATTGCCCCCTATTGGACCTTCAGTTTTCCGACCTCGGAAGGATGGAAGGCTGAGTCAACCTTGAGCCAGTCAGGATTGAACTCCAGGCTGGGGAGAGTTAGCCTGCAATACTGCATTGAACCTCTGTGCCACCAGGGTTCCAGTAATATCCTCCTATACTTAACAAGCTGCCACACAAAATTTTGCTAGTTGTCACATCATTTTGGAGTTTTCATCTCCAAACGAATGGCTTACAAGAAAAAAATCATGAGCACTGAACTATAGATGTCAGAATTACAGTCTCTGAAAGAGGCAATATAGAAAAGCCATAGGCTGATATTTCCACCATACCTGTTCCACATAGACAAAGTCTTTAACTGGGATGAGTGTTCTTATTTCTCTCTCAGGAAATTTCTCCCTCAGGAATTGTTGCAAAATATTAGAAGAATGCAATGAAACAGTCTGTAGTATGTCAGGGCAGTGAACTGTTTGAGATGTTATAACCACTGTGCTTGCAGATTCTAAGTTGATCTTATATATTTGCATTAGTTTTAGTATTTTAATGTCTTCTTTGATTGCTCATAACCTTATTCCCCAAAAACATCTTGGGAGAAAGGTCGTTTTGCAGGTCATGCCCTTGATCAAAAATAGTATCTGTATTTATTGTTACTTGCAGATCCAAGGGAAGTTTGTTAGGTTATTAATGACCTAACTCAGTTCTGGTCTCTGGCATAGGACTACTAGCTATAAAGTTTCATAGCTGATTAAATGGACTGTAATCCACCAAAACTAATAATAAATGTTTTAATAAGTGAGATGTGACAAGATTCTATTGTTTTATTTGTAACAGATTAAGGTATTCTCTGCAAATGCCTAGAATCGGGCTGGCATAGTTTAACTGCTCTCTTGACTCTTCCTTTGTTCTTAACATCTACTGATGTCTGTACAACCAGAACTAGTGGCAGGGTCATTTCATGGCTGAGCCCAAGTCCCTATAACCACCTTTTCAGGAAAGCCTTTTCACTTCCTTGCTTCCAGCTCCTCCAGTTTGGTAAAGACCTTCATTTTTAAGATGGCCTTTAATTGATGAATCTGCTGTGGGTCTTATCAAACTTTGCTAACTTAAATATTTGTATTGACCCTGAAGTAGTCTTCTGCTATATTGTTTTATATTTTACATTGTTTTACATTGCTACATATTATGTTATATAATTTTATATTTTTATATTTCTGCCTTCAATGAGCTATCATTTGCTTAGAATCATAGTGGACAGGCAAGCTCCTTCCCAAAACCCCAAGATTTGTGAAAGTTTGTTGAGCCCCATGAAAAAAAAATTTGTCCCCATTCATTGAGGTCATCTTCAGTCATGTTTCTCAACTAGTGGTTTGGCCAGTGATTGGATATATTAATTTCCTAAAGACCAGCAAGGTTCAGACTTTATCATTCAGTCATTAGTTCCATGAAAAAGTTAGAAATCCGTTGTGCTACTTCTTCACTTTCCCCCCGAAACCAGAAAAATTCTTATAAACCTTCATGATAATATTAGTATATCCATTTGAAGAAGCATTACCTGTTGAATAGTCAATGCTATTGACTAAAGGGGTCATTTCCCTGAGATACTGAAAAGTGCATGAGCCAGAACAATTTGCTGGAATGTCATTCACTCTAACTACCACCTGGATTGACAGAAAATAGTATTAATAAAACGATGAATAAAACAACTGAGACCCACTGAACAGTTCAGAATATTAAGAATAATTAAAACCCAAACAATGATTTTAAAATTTGTAATACAAGTAAAAGGTTTTGACTCTGACCTAAAAAAACTAAAAAAAATATTTTAGTAAAAAAAAAAGTGTTCAATATAGAACACAACCATGAGCAAAATCTAGTACAGAATCCCAAAGTTATGCAGGAAAGGAAGATTTTGGTCTGTCTGAAATGAACCAGTCAAATGTTTTCAAGGGCCTTCTGAGTCTTCCGAATATGTCACAAGCCCATGGGCCTTCTTTCAATGTAGCAGCCCTCACAGGCTTGTTTTATCTTGTGAACATTTTAAACCAGGGCTTGCATTAAACAGGTTCTAGGATTGTAGCTGTTTCTGTTGCAAGCTCTATTATATACAACCTGACCTAGATTGGGACTAAAGCATGAAGGGGAGAAGAGTATAATTCACAGAGGTTTCCCTCAAGATCTGATAGACCTTTGACTAAAAGGAAGACAGAGGCAATCGAGGTCAAATCTATAACATTTGGGCTAAATATCTTTTTTTTTCTTTTTTGTGGAGGGGGGTCCTGGACTTGCAAACTTTATCTTGCCTCTAAAGAGTTTGATAGAGATGGATAGAAAAATCTAACTTGAACTGGCAAAGAAAGAAACTAATTTTGGCTAACTTCTTAGTACATACATTCTTTTAAGATTTCATTACCACCCACTACCACCATTTTTCAAATAAACCATATAAATAATCAGATAATTTCCTTTCCAATAGAGGACCAAATGATTTCTGTTGATTACCACCACCAATTTAAGGACATATGTAGCCTTTTTTTGACCAAACTAGTTTTTCCAAGTTTAGGTGAGATTTTGTTGACTTTCTTGCAAAATTACTGAACTTTGTAATTTAACTGGATCAAAAAGAGAAGAATCCAGATGGAGAAAACATAAAATTCAAATACTGAGGTAAATTAACCACAGCATTGCTATAATAACTATTTTTAAAATAGATCACAAATTATCTCAATGACAGCAAAAAAAATGAAAATGTTTAATCCATTAAGTTATGCCAATAAACAGGTCTCATCTATGACTCTCTAAATTAATCTTTCATCTCATTGGAACTCTTTCCAGCAGATGGCAATTGCTCAGATTTCTGGCATTTGACCTCTACATCATCTGGACAGCACCCAGTTGAGATAGTGTTCTACAGACAAATAACCACTGGAGAATAGCATAATAATCAAACTTTTATTTAAATTGATGTACTGTGATTATTTAGTATCTATTTTGTTCCTGTTTGTACTTCACATGTAAGATAAAAATATAAACATCATCATCTTCTTCCTCAAGCATTTGGGATTTGTGGGAATTTGCAATTGCCTGAATGTGGGAATCTGTTATTTGTTGTCTCCTTTTCTTCATTACATTGAAGTGACTGGAGTGAAATGAAGATCCTTTCCCTTCATCCCATATTCTTATAATGAAACAGGTAGGAAAAGCTTTTTTTATCCTTCCTGCATACATGTACATATAAATTGCTTTCAAGAAGATACGTCAGTTTCATACCTGTGTAATGTTATTGGGGGTAGCAAGCATATCTCCAAATATGGGATCAATGAAAACGCCACCATCAATTACTACATAGCTTATTATTGTTGGGATAAGACCAGTGAGGTTTTCATCAGAGACCTTGGAAGAAAGAATTAAATAAAATTGCTTCGCATTCTCTTATTTCAGTAACACAATAGTGTTTATAATTTCTTAGAATGTTTATTTTTAATATTTATAATTTCTTTTCATACAGGAATCACCTGGTATCTGATTCTGGCTATTTGCTATTGCAGACTAAATTACTTATTAATTAATTTATTAGTATAAGCATATGGCACCTATGTGTTAATTCCTTATTTTTTTCATTGGATATTGTATCTATGGTGTTTTTTTAATCTTTCACAATAAATTTAATCACTCTTCCTCCCAAAAAGTCAAAATACCAGAGAAGTATATAATAAAAATACCAGGAAAGAAAAGTAGTGCATAGTAAATAACTTTTCTTTTTAAATTTCCTCTCCTATCACAGGAGAAACCATGTCCCTCATTGTTGCTAGGATAATATAGTCATATTTATGAAGATGCCAGGTTTCAAAGCCAGCTAGAGACAGTCTTCATTTGATTTTCCAAGCCTACCCACTTTGTGATTCCACACAACTATCTCCAAATCTTGCTATATTGTTGCTGTCTTCTCCTTAAAAAACGTTTTTGTATTCTTTGGATATAACAGTAATTTTACAACTGCTACTATCTTCCATACTTAATTTACAAACAATATTTTACCAGACAAAAGCAAAGGTAACCAGATATCAAGCTCGGTTCTTAGTGATTTCATGGACACAAACATGCAGTAGTATGACTATGGTTTCCATTGAGATTTTGATATCCCAGCCTAGTTTATATATCTAGAATGCTGTGGAGGTCTCCTATCCAAGTACTACCCAGAGTTGACCCTACTTAGCTTCTGAGCCCAGGTCCTGCCACCTGCTAAGACAATATTGTAGAATTTACTGTATACAGTATTTCATTTAACATCTTATGCCATACCAATCTACTCCAACCAAGTGCCTTCCATTTATGCTGGTACTGCAACTACCAGAATTCCCAGGTTTGGCAACCACTATGTAGGGATTGAGAGGCACCACTGTACATCATTCCAAAATATATTGCTAGTAAAATATTACTAGTGTTAATTATAATGCAAACACTTAATTACTCTACTTTATGCATTATAGTACATTGCACTGTATATGGAAAATAATTATTTGCAACATATTCCCAAACAGATTACATTACAAATGAAAATATCACAACTATATATCCATATGCTTATTTCCCATCTACTTGGTAGTTTTCCTTATGGTTAAAAACAGCAAGACTGAAGAACAACCTCACTGAAGATTAATATATCTTACAATGTGAATTTCTCCATGGCAAAAACAATTCCCGGAGTTTTGTAGGTACATTCATGAAAAGTTACTTGTTATAGGAGAGAGATTGGCCAAGCAAGGAGGAGGAATCAAATGGGGACTAAGTCTGGAACTCCTACATGGGTATAAGGCAAAGTGCAACCCCCACCCCCATCCCCGAATGTCCTGTTGAACCTTATCTAGTCTTACTCATGTGCAAAACTGCCAACCTGAAAAGATTTCTTTAAATAGAATTGAACTATAATATAGCTATTGCTATACATGTTTTACATGTGAATCTGGTTAATCATGCTTGACACATTACATTGCTAAAAAATATCCTGATTGCTCTTCTAGGAAGGAAGGAAGGAAGGAAGGAAGGAAGGAAGGAAGGAAGGAAGGAAGGAAGGAAGGAAGGAAGGAAGGAAGGAAGGAAAATATGTGGATATGTGCATTGTCTATACTATCTATTAATAATAAGCCACAAAACCTGGTTGAATTACATAACTGAATATACAGTAACTTGATTTTTTCTTTGTATTTTATATTTTAATTGCTATGAGCTTGGACACATAGTATCTTGATGTAAAGTAGGTAATAATTTAGTATAATGGTTAAGGTTTAAGATTAAGACTAGGTAAGGGAATACAGTTCAATTCCACTTTCAGTCATGGAAGCTCATTGGATGATTTGTAGTCAGTTCATGTATATCCTTAGCTCTGGCTGATATTATTTTTTAAAAAATGGCAGTGCTGTACATCACATAATTTGCTATCCTCCTTTTGAACATTGATGTGTTGTCACAGTGCAGGTACAAAAGAAGCAGACAGTGACATGACAGTGTATCACTGCTTTCATTAGACTAAATGGTTTGACACCAACTCATCCATGAATATTTCTGAGTCTGTCATATTTCAGTCTATGTTATAGATTAATTGATGTGAAGATAAGATGGAAGAGTTATAAGTGTCACCATGAGCTCTTGAAGAAAATGTTGGAAATACATCTAAAGAATAAATATCAAATTACAACAGATGGGAAAGATGATCTTCAAAAAAAATTGGAGGATATAGCTATATGTAGTATAGATACAGTATATCCATGTTTCAATATCATCACATTTTTCCTAAAAACTGGAAGTCTGTTGGATGCAGAAAGGGGGCCATTTCATTTCCTATGTGCCTACCAAAGTGATGTTCCTGTCAAGCAGAGAGGTCAGAGTTCAATAGTCTGGGAAAGAACTGTGTCAAATAATTGAATGGCTCTGGGTGAAGGATCAAAACTCTAGATATGTTAGAGCTCATCGGGCAGTTCCAGACAAATAAAATAGCAAAAATGAAAGGATTGAGAGCAATGATAAATAAACCGCCAAGGAAAGCAAGAAATACTCAGGGCTAGGCCGCATCTGTGAGAAGAAATTGTAAATTAACAAATAAAACATTGTAAATAAAATAGTTTAAACAACTGGTCTTACCCTGATGAAATTGGGCAAATCACCGATCATTGAAGTCCACGTCAGTGTCCATATACTTTGATAAGAGTTTTGTGAAATCTTAGATACAAAAAAGTCACTGGTATTTATGTACTGAGCTGTAAAATTATCACTGTAATTTTGCAGAAGGCTGCGGAGGTGATTGGCAGAGATGGACACTGGGATACCTGGAAGAAGATGGAAAAATAATAAAATAAGTAAAGATGCAGATTAAAGTCTGGTTTTAATCTCTGGGCTGAACAGTGATATCTAATATGATGCAAATGACATGAGTGACCTATAGTATTTGGGGTCATTTATACAAAGAAATGATATATGTGATATGTGATGTCATCATGGGTTCCATGACCAATTCCAATTATCATGACTAATTGTAAATTTCAAGAAGTAATCATGGCCCCTAACCACATGCATTGGCAAAATGTTGATGGTAAGGCTAGATTCAAAGTTTTGGTTTTGTCTGGCTTAACATGCTTAAAATAATTAAAACAATCTGACACTGTAGATTCTATGGTTTGCTTTTGAAAATCATCAGTGAATCCCTTAGCAAGATTATGATTCACTGTCAAATATTGCTAATAAGATTTCACAGAGTAAGAAAAAAATGAGTTTAGTGATTTTTCAGTTGGCCAATCCTACCTTAAATCATATCCACACTAGCAGATTGCCCCATTAGGACTATAGGCTATCAACATTATTATTATTATTATGGATCATTGCACAGTCAGCCAGATGTTCAGACTGGATTTGGCATTTTGTCTATCTATCGAGTCCTTACCCAGGACCTGGGATAGGCAGATGTGGATGTTTGATGGTATTACAGATATCGTCGTAGGATGGAAGCAGTTCCTAATAAGGCCGCCTTTTGCAATTGACTAATAGTGAATTTGTCAATGCCAATGGTGTTCAAGTGGTGCTCCAGTTGTTTTGGGATTGCACCCAAGGAGCCTATGACTATTGGTACTACCCTTGCTTGCTTTTGCCACAGTCTTTCTATTTCTATTTGTAGGTCTTTGTATTTTGTTATCTTCTCCAGTTCTTTCTCGTCTATTCTGCTGTCTCCAGGCACTGCCACGTCCACTATCCAGACTTTTTTGTCTTTCTTATCGACAATTGTTAAGTCTGGGGTGTTATGTTGCAGGTGCTTGTCTGTTTGAATTCTGAAGTCCCAGAGCAGTTTAATTTTATCATTTTCTATGACTTTCTCTATTTTATGATCCCACCAGTTTTTGCTTACAGGCAAATGATATTTTTTGCAGATCTTCCAATGCACCATTGTTGCTACTTTGTCATGCGCTGCTTGTAATCAGTCTGTGCAATCTTCTTGCAACAGCTTACCAAGTGGTCCACTGTTTCTTCAGCTTCTTTGCATAGGCGGCACTTACTGTCTGTTGCTGTCTTCTCAATTTTGACTTTGTATGCATTTGTCCTTAAGGCTTGGTCTTGTGCAGCCAGAATTAGTCCCTCGGTCTCTTTCTTCAATTTTCCTGCTCTTAGCCATTGCCAGGTTATTATCTGCTTTCCCAGCTATTTTTTTAATGTATTGGCCATGTAGTGCTTTGTCTTCCATGCCTCTATTCTGTTCTTCATTTGGTCTTTCTTGTAGGCCAGTTTGGTCTCTCCAGTAGTCAGTAAGCCTTCCTGATATACTAATTTCAGTGCATCTTCATCATTGTTCTTCAGATATTCTTCCAAAGCCATTTCTTCATCTTCAACCATCTGATGTACTTGCAGCATTCCACGCCCACCTATTTGCCTTGGTAGTAAAGTTTGTCAATGTCACTGTGTGGATGAAGGGCATGATTCATTGTCATTATTTTTCTGGTCTTCCTAGCCATTGCTTTTAGTTCTGCTTGAGTCCAGTCCACTATTCCAGCTGTGTACCTAATGACTGGAATTGCCCAGGTATTGATTGCCCTTATGGTATTTCCTCCATTGAGTTTGGACTTTAAGATCTTCTTGACTCTCTTGATGTATTTACCTCTAATCTTTTTCTTGACTTCAGTGTGCTTGATGTTGTCAGCTTGAAGGATACCCAAGTATTTGTAGTAATCTTCCTCATCCAGACTCTTAATGTTATTTTCGTGGGGCATCTTGATTCCTTCAGTTTTCACTACTTTTCCTTGTTTGATAGTAAGTGTGGCACATTTGTCCAAGCCAAACTCCATAACAATATGTTGGCTATATATACGGACAGTGTTGAGCAGTGATTCTATTTCAGATGATGTTTTTTCCATACAGCTTCAGATCATCCATGTAAAGGAGATGGGATAGTCTGGTAAATGTTTTTGATGTTTGATAGCCATGTCCTGAGTTATTCAGTATTGTTGACAGAGGAAACAGTGCAATAACAAATAGTAATGGTGACAGTGAATCTCCTTGAAATATTCCTCTCTTGATATTAACCTCTCCCAGTCTCTCACCATTGATCTGCAACTGTGTCTTCCATTGTGCCATCGATCTTTGCACAAATTTTCTGATGTTTCTACTGACTCCTGTTATTTCTAGGCACTTGATTATCCAGTTATGTGGCAGAGAGTCAAATGCCTTTTTGTAGTCAATCCATGCCACATTCAGGTTGGTCTTCCTTTTCTTGCAGTTTTCCAAGATCATTTTGTCTATTAGGAGTTGATTTTTTGTTCCTCTGCTATTGGGGCAGTTTCCTTTCTGCTCAGGTGGAAAGAGATTGTTTTCAACTAGATGCTGTTGTACTGCATCAGCTACCACACCAGTTAGTAATTTGAAAGTTGTTGGTAAGCAGGTAATTGGCCTGTAGTTGCCTGGTGTTGCCAGCATGTGCGGCGGCGCCCCCTGAGGGAAAAAATGGCAGATCGCATTGTTTGGCGACCCCCGTAAAATGGTCGTTCGACCCCAAATGGGGTCGCGACCCAAAGGTTGAGAACCGCTGCTTTAGAACATGGGTGTTCAACCTTTTGGCTTGCCTGGGCTGCACTGAGTGAAAAGGAATTGTCTTGGGCCACACATAAAATATATAGTGTTATAATATAAAACCACATAATAATGTCAAAAGTTTATGATCTTGTGAATCTGCATTATTAGCTGTCCAGGGCTTCATGCGGTCTGTGGGCAACAGTTTGGACATACCTGCTTTAGAACAATCACTGTTTGTCTATAATGCTTTTTTCCTTAGTTAGTTTTTTTTATTTTTGATCATAGCTTTAGTATCTGGAATTTATCAAGGAACCAAGAATTCTGGGCTTTTTGTCCATGAAAAATAGCCCAAAAATTATTATACACCATTTAAGAGATAAATCTACATCTGATTTGTAGCACATATATTTTCTTTTTAAGCACTCTTGACATAGTGGTACAAATATAGCCTTTCTTGAAATGGACTTCTCAACTTTAATTTAAATTTCCAGATATTTATTTATTTATGAGACTTATATACCGCTTTAAGTGCAAGCACTCTCTAAGCAGTGTACACCAGTAAGCAATGTATATATATTTACATTGCCCCCAACAATCTGGGTCCTCATTTTACCTACCCCGGAAGGATGGAAGGCTGAGTCAACCTTGAGCCGGTGAGATTTGAACCACTGACCTGCTGAACACAGTCAGCTAAAGTGGCCTGCAGTATTGCACTCTAACTGCTGTGCCACCTCGGCTCATATTTTTTCCTTTTTATATTCTTTAATTTGCCCGCCATGATTATTAATTCACACCGTATTTTTATTAATATTTACATGGCATCAGATCTGACAATTGCATTATTTTTGTCTTTTCTTATATTATCATTATTTTGCCTTTTATTAAATTACCATTATTTTGTTTAATTAAAAAAGCATACTGATGCATTTGTTAATATGTATGATTACAGAAAAGCAGCCATAGATAGATTTCATCCATTCTTTATCTGTGTCCTAATTTTCAGGGTAGGTGGTATGGTATATCTTGGCTAATCCTTTATTTTGTGGAAGAAGATGCCAAAGCTCAAGTTTACCTGGAATCACTATGTTAGGCAGATGGATTTGAAAAGTTCCTCCAAGAGGTAGGCTTGCACCTTGTATCCTTTGGACTGTCAAATTGATTCCTGTCTCATTCATAGACATCAACAATTGATCAGTCTCTTCGGATCCCTTCAGAGGCATACCTCCTCTACATGAAAAAAAAAATGAAATCAAGTTTTACAATATCATTCCTGTCTCAGAATAGGGCTATTTCAAATGGAACTGTAGAATATTTATGGACCACTACCAGGCCACAAAATGCCAGCAACCAGTCCACAAAAACAAGCAAAGCCCCATCCGTGGGATGCAGGCAGCACACAAAACCACGCACTCTCCAGTCCACAGAAAAACCTTTCTCTATGGAACCAGTCCCTGGTGCCCAAAATGTTGGGGACCTTTGCTATAGTTGCTTCTTTCTCATGTTTCCCAGCAAGTGACATTGGGAGACATGGTGCCTCTAATCTTTGACTATGCATCAAGGAAATCTTCTGGAGTGGCAAAGGTATTTATTACAAAACTATCAGAAGTCTTTTATTAAGCACTTTGAATAAAATAAAGAAAACTGAGAAAAAACTGAATCTTCTTATAAATAGAACAGAACAGAACAGAACAGAATAGAATAGAATAGAATAGAATAGAATAGAATAGAATAGAATAGAATAGAATAGAATAGAATAGAATAGGAGCTGGAAGGGACTTGGAGGTCTTCTAGTCCAGTCCCCTGCTCAAGAAGGTGAACCTATACCATCTCAGACAAGTGACTGTCTATTCTCTTCTTAAAAATCTCCAGTGATGGAGTGCCCATGATTTCTGGAGGCAAGCTGTTCCACTGGTTAATTGTCCTCACTGTTAGGAAGTTTCTCCTTAATTCCAGGTTGCTTCTCTCTTTGATCAGTTTCTAACCATTGTTTCTTATCCTGCCTTCTGGTGCTTTGGAGAATAATTTGACCCCCCTCTTCTTTGTGGCAGCCTCTCAAATACCAGAATACTGCTATCATGTCACCCCTATTTCTTGTTTTCTTTAAATTAGCCAAGTCCTGCAGCCATTCTTCATATGTTTTAGTCTTCCGGCCTTGGATCAGTTGCTCTTCTCTGAACTTTTTCCAAGGTCTCAACATCTTTTTTGTAGTATGGTGACCAAAACTGGTCATGATATTCCAGGTGTGGTCTCACTAGGGTTTTATAAAGTGGTACTAATACTTCACATGATCTTGATTCTATGCCTCTGTTTATACAACCCAAGATTGTATTAGCTTTTTTGGCTGCTGCTGCACATTGCTGGCTCATAGTCAAGTGATTATCCACTAGGACTCCAAGGTCCCTCTCACAGTTACTGTTTTTGAGCCAGGTCTCACCTAATCTGTACTTATATCTTTTATTTTTCCTGCCTAAATATAAAACTTTGCTTTTCTCCACATTAAAACTCATTTTTGTTGGATAGGGCCCATGGCTGAGCTGTGAAAATCTCAGCGACCACTAGATGGCAGTAGGAAAAGTTTAGATTTGGAGAAACAATTGAAGAGTATATGACAAGTGCTGATTAAAATATAATGTGGGTAGTTAAACTTCTAGGAAGACTTCTAGGAATACAAAAACCTAATTTATGGGCTGTGTTCGATTACACCTTTGCTATAGTCAACCAGGGTGAATAAAGTCAATTTCCTTAGTATTCTGGATATAAGACTTATAAACTAAGTCTATGGGAACACTTCACCCAGCATGCTTAATTAGTTTATGTGTCCTTATAAAGTGTAAACAAAGGCACCACAAGTCTGCCACCTACAGACTAAATATCATCCAGTGATTCTGTGAAACTCTTGTGGAGATTACTAGCCTTGTTTCTCTTTTCTAAAACTAATCCCAAGGGTCAGATAAAATTAACACATAAATCTCAGTGTTTTCAAATGTAAAGTGTCCCTTTAAAAAATTCAATCCATATATTTTATTAATAAATAGTGTAAAGTTAGGCTAATACTGTGGTCTTGGTTACTATATAAGTATATATTTGTTTCAAATGTCTTTCTAAGATTGTTTCAACTTTTCTTCTTAATCTTGTATTATCCCTCCCCTATCCACTGCCCAATTTAACTCCCTCCAACCAATAGCTAATGAAAAATCTTTGCTGTATCTTTATTTCTGTTTGACCTTTCTTGCCTGGGATGCATCAATCTGGATGCATTTCAACTATCTCTTGGCTGCAATCTGGGGAATGTTTAGATATTTTTCAATCCATGTGGAATGCTATTTAAAGCCTTTCCTAGGCATGCAATTCACTTAAGTGCCATTCTTTCTATCTATCTAATCACAGTACAAATATGCCCCAACAATTTCCATTTTCTGCTGTTTTTATAATATTGCCTTAATCTGATCCCAGATTATCCCCAAGGCAGCCTTAAGCCATCCTTAGCTGTTCCAGTGTTAGGGTTTTCCTTGTTATTCCAATACACCTAATATTGAGCTGCCAATGTAACCATCTATCAACACTTGCCTCCTCTTCCCAGTCCCAGCCCAATGAACAAGAGTAAATTGGTTAATGTCTTTCCATCAGCTAATATACTGTAATAGGAGGGAAGAGGAACAAAAGTCCAGAGTACTTCAACAATCCCTTTCTTTAACTTGTCCTGAAGACAGAAAATAAGGATCCAATCATTTGGCATCATCCTTCCTGTGGCAGGATAAGGATCAACAAAGGGAATAGCAAAAATAACACTGGAACACCTTTCTGACTGAAGGAGTCCTAACTAGGTTTCTTGACTTGCTCTGAAAGTCCCTGAGATAAAGATATTTACCAAATAGTTGGCCTACCTTACACACCTCTACTATTTTGATAGTCCTAGCTGGCTTTCTCGGATTCTTCAGAGGAAGGAAGGAAGGAAGGAAGGAAGGAAGGAAGGAAGGAAGGAAGGAAGGAAGGAAGGAAGGAAGGTGAAGCATAAGTATATATGAACCTTTATTCCTACCTGAGTGAGAGAAGGGGGAGGTTCTTGTGATAATTTGCTACAAAAAAAGATACATTAAATATAGGTGGGATACCAGCAACCAAGACAGATTCTATGAGGTTCCCATGTGGATGAGTTGACCTGGGTTCCTTCTGAAAAACTGGAAAGAAAACAGTTTTGGCATAATATTTCTATAAAAGACAAGACTTATCACTTGACAAACTCAATAGGCATACAGTATAGATAGTATAAAAGTAATTGCATTGTAATTTATATTAAAACTTCTCTCTACCACTGAAATAAATGTCATCTAGGAATTCTAACTTGTTCTGCTTGTGAAGTTAAGGAAAATGATCAGATAAATAAGAAGCCTTTACTGCCAATATGAACTAGTCCCAGTGGTGGGATTCAAATATGTGAACAGCTGGTTCTCTGTGTGGATGCCATTTCGGAAATCCATTCTGGGCCTGGGCAACAAAAAAGTAGCTACTGGTTCTGCTGAACTGGTGCGAACTGGCTGAAACCCACCACTGACTAGTCCTAGAAACAACAAACAACAGATCCTGCAGCATCTAAGAATTTACTTATGTGTGTGTGTGTAGCCCTGAGTTTAAAACCTAGGTTTCCTAAGTAATGGTTGTCTCATATTGGGATATTGATGATATCTGTATAAGATTTATGTACCAACTTTGCTTGTTCCAGCTCTTTGCTCCCTTCCCATCTGTCCAGGTTGTCCTTCCCACTACATGGATCCAAAATCTACAGCTGAAATGTTTCCCAAATGTCCAATAATTATCAATAACTGTAATTCTATCAAACATTTATTTCTTGATTAAAAATATTTCTCTTGCCCTTCCATATCCATTCATATTTTACTCTTTTATTTATCAAAAGGAAAGGAAAGGAAAGGACAAAAGCAAAATATCAGATTACCAAATAAATCTTGATCTGAAACAATGATCTCGTCAATGAAAAACCAGCCAAGTGTCTCTGTTGCAGCAGTAGGAGCTTCTACATCAACCTGGTGCAAAAACACTGAAGAATTTTTGGGAAGATCATTAAGGAATTCAGAACTATACAGACAGTCTCTCCAAAGGTTGATGCATATGAATTTCCAGCTGAAAGAGAAACATATTTTTGTATTCATCACCTACATTTATGTTAGATGTCTACTTAAAAGGAAATTTACAATTTTTAATGACAGAAAAGTTTCCTAGCAATATTCCTGTGAATTTCCTAAATCAGCTTTCAAACTGTGTTCTGTGGAACCATTCGTTTCCATGAGAACTTGATGGGGTCCATGAGAAGCTAAGGCCAAATAAGCAAACAAACACAAGTTCACTCAAAGGCAAGCCAAGAGCTCTGCCTCTTGATCAGAATTCTGGAATTGCTTTTGTTTCTTTTTGGAACAGGTTCCATGACCTGAAAAAGTTTGAAACCCCCTGTCCTAAAGCATGACTCTGCCAAATCAAAGTCATATATTCAGTGGAATGAGCCAGGGGGTCACGGTTAGGTCTCTATTTTTGAACGTAAGGGCAGTTTTCTAGATATTGCTGAAATGTAATTCTCCGCTGCTTGAGTCAGCATGGTCAAATGGGGAAGGATACTTAGAGCTGTATCCCAGAAATATCTGGAAATCAAAAGCATCAAAAGAAGTGGTTTTGATTCCTATTGGTTAAGTACTTGTCCCATTGCCTATATGTCAGAAACATACATATTGCAGCTAATTATGTTAAAAGAAAAGGACTGTGGAAAATGTATAAAATGAATGTTTATAGATAGACCTTTCTGGACTGGATTTCAGATTCCATTGGCAGGTCACATGTTTCTTCACGATATCTAGAAAGGTATTGGAATAAGACACTGCAATGTAGAAGGTATTGCTCATGTAGCCTTTGTATGCAAAGCACAACTGTGAAGAAGGGAAAGAACAAAATTCCTCCTTAAATGATTTGTTTCCAATATGGCTGCCAATAATACAAAACAACACATTTTTATACTCAGGTTCCTTTTGAACAATGTACTATCCTACAACATCTGCTCTGCATACACAAGTGCATTACACTTGCCCATCTTATGTCCCTCACCATGCTTGCAGAGATTCAGTTAGCCTTGAGGCCAAATGAGATTTCCTGTTCCTGGTATTGATTGTGCCCATCATCAAAGTCATTCTGTTATTCAATATTTAGTCCTTTCATTGCTTTAAACTTTTTGAAAAAATATTACTCACATGTGTGTATGTAGTGACATCATAAGGAGGAATTAATTGAGATGTTTTGATAAGGCCTTTTGGCCTGAAATTGCTAAATCTTCCACAAAAGGGTTCTGTCCAACTGACAAGGACTCCACCATTGACTAGATTCTCAGTATCTATTGCAGATGTGGGAAAAGTAAGGAAAAATTCCATGCAAAATAAGTCCTAGACAAACCTGAATGCAAGACTAACTTTAATAGCACAGTGCTATGAGTGACAGTCTCAGATCTGAAAAAGAGCATTAATATAGAAATTCAGTTGTACCATGGAAAGACTCGCACATAACAAATTTAGTAAAAGAGGGTTCACGTTAGGCATATAAATTAGAATATTACCCATAATGCATGGTACACATTATGCAACCCAAGTGTAGGATGCATATCTAGATGATAAATAGGAAGCCACGTGCCAATTTTGCAACATTCAAGAAAAACGGGGAGAGAAGAGACTTGTGCAAGAAGTAAGCTAACCTAAGTAGCCACATTGCACTTAATCTACTCTAATTATAGTCTTCTGTGGCCAATTTTTATAGATCTTTTTCTTGTAAACTACCGTCAAACAGATAGCACATTTTATTCATTTTTAAATAAATGAAATAAACAAATTATATTATTTCATTCAATAATATAATGTATTCTTTCTTGATTTCACTTCTGACCAATATTTTGTGTTTGTGTGTGTGTGTGTGTGTGTTCACACACATGCATGTGCTCATACATTTAGTTTTTGGAGAAAGTTTGCAGATGTTCCTTATCTTTCTTTTACAGTAGCTATATATTTTTTGCTGAAATAAAGTCTTTCAAACTGAAAATGACAAGCTTACTTTGCTCAAATCCTGTTTGCAAAAAAATATTAGCAGATGATGGCTCTATTTCACATTTTACTGAAAGAAGTTCCTCCAATTCATGCTGCAACTGAAAAATAAAATTATTTTGAGTTTTCTAAAAGAAAATGCAGTGTCCCAAAACCAACCAGGGCCGAAATTTAAGATATGTCGAAAGCCAAACAACAAATGCTTTTCCCTACTATAAGTCTAGTTGCATTATATCAAAAATAAGAGAAATTATTCTGGTAGCAGAATAAAACAGATTTTATATATATGTAAAAGACATGCACACAGTTTTAAATAACATTAAAAATGTTGAAATCATTTACAACGATCAAGAGGATTTACTAATTTAACTTGAATTATCATTCCATGTCAGAATTTAGTAAATGACATTTCAAATCTACTTTTCAAGGTAAGAAACTGTAGTTCCTTACTCTTTAAATGTCATGCTTCTGGGGTACCTTAACTAACCATAAAATGTCATTTTAGATTTCACACCCGTTTGTCACTATGATCAACTTTTATGTTGGGATATTTTCCTAATTTTTCCTAACATATAACCTCTGCTTATAAAGTTCAATAGATATTGAGGCAACTGTTGTTTCACCATCCCAATTCTACATATTGTAATTATTAATAATTATTTTATATCCAGGAGAATCATTGAGAATGTACTTGATCAGCAGTAACATTTGTTGACATGGGATTGCTGGTCACATTGTCCCAAACAAGACTGAACCGTCCTCTGCCAGACAATATCAGCATCTATCAAAGCAGAAAGATTAAGAGTAGCTTACAAAGTATATTTATTTCTTCTGAATAAAAATAAAAATAATACTTTTTAACAACTTGGGAGTCTTTATTCTCTCCTTAACTACATAATGAATGTAATATGTAGCTTAGAAGAGTTTTGAATTTGATAATTCAAATTCAACTTGAATTTATAGTTAATCTATAGTTTCAAAGCAGTGAAATGTCTGCAAATAGTTTCATTTAAGAAGGAGGCAATTAAGAAATTGATGAAGTCATTTTGCAAAATGTTGTTTAGTATTTTCTAATAATCCTAGGGGGCTGGACTAGAAGACCTCAAGGTCCCTTCCAGCTCTATTCTATTCAAGAATTATTATAAGCTGCCAAGAATTGCCTTTAGACCAGATGGGTGGCGTATAAGTTTGATAAATAAACAAACAAACAAAACAAAACCTATACTCTGTGTGGTCAGCCAACCATAAATTAGGCTGCCTTGCATCCCTTCACAAGGATAAAAAGGGAAAAGCCTATTTCTCAATTGCTAAAAATGATCCAACATCCAGCTGATAAATAGGGTGAAGAAATGAACATGGCTCAGACTGACCAACAGTCTCATGTAGAATATATGTGCAGAATACAAGCAGGGAAAAAAAATGAAATCTGGTGACACCTTTGTTATGGTAGAAACTGTAATGGCCCAGAGTTTATAAATACACTGAGATGCCAAGATAATATAAGCCTTTTTACTGCCATTTGTGAAAACCTGATATCTAAACCTGATTTAAAATTATAATTACGATAAAGGATCTGACTTTTTTAAAAAAGAAGTTTCAATAAAAAAGGAAATGAGAAATACACACATATACATCATATTTTATAGCAATCATCCACAAAAGCTATAACTGTATGCAACTCATTGAAACAGTGGGACTTCAATTCATTGAGTCAGTGAGGCTGCACATTTACCTTGAGGCATAAGAAACAACTTGGAAATCAAGAAGCACAACTAGTAAATAAAATTCAAGTAACATTAATTTTTTTTAATCAATTCAATTGACAACTGTTATAGGGAAAGTTGTGCACAACAAATAAAAAATTCAGATTCAGATTATATTCTGGAATTTACCTGTATCTCTGGAAGCTGGATAGCATTGGCTTGTATTCTGTATTTCTCTCTGCAATAAGTACTAACCACATCTGGGTTTAGCCAGGTATGGTGCAACTGAACCCCCACGCTCATTCCATTGTTTGGGGATATCCCATTATGCACAGCTTCCAAATAGTACATCGTACCAGCAATTAGCTCATATTTTTCTGATTTGGGCTTCCTAGGATGAAACCAATCTTCCTTCCAAAATGCTGACCAATCAGCAGTGCCACTAGAAATTGATACAACTTCCACCTGTTGACCAAAATAATGAAAGCAGTAAAAAGGTCAGAGGAGGTGTGCATTTGACTACCTTTTATAGTACTAGTTCTTCATCAGAGCATTCCAAACTGAAGAGGTCATACAGTCGGCTGATTCAGAATGAGGTACCATTCCTTTAGATCAGGGGTTGGGAACTATGCCCTTTTATGATTTTTGGATTTCAACTCCCAGAATTCCTGAACCAACCATTTTCACTACCATCTCAAGCAGAGGTGGGGAACTATGGCCCCTTTATGACTTGTGGACTTGAACTCCCAGAGTTGGCTCAGGAATTCTGGGAATTGAAGTCCAGAAGTCATAAAAGGCCCATAGTTCCCTGCTTTAGATGATAGTGAAAATGGGTGCAAAATGGAAAAGACTGAGAGATGAAAAGACAAAGAAAAAAAGATTACTGATTACAAAAAAAGGCGAATACAAATCTTCTAAACTGATCACAGAAACTTTTTTAAAAGAAAAAAATGCACATAGTAGCTATTATCAAAGTTCTCTGAATTTAGATTCAGCTTGAATGACACCAAACACATTAAGTTAGTGGTGGGCATAATCTAGAATATTTGATTCAAAAAGCAAGGGAAAATAAAATGATTTTTCCAAATGATAGATCCTAGTGTCAAACACAAATAAGAGGAACATTCACTGAGTTCAAAGTACACATTTTATTATTTCTACCTCTAATACAAAAATCTAGTCAACTAATAGAGGTAAAGGTAAATTGGTGCTAGATAACAGTCAACAGAATTCGGTAGAGTGGGATATATTATTGTGAAAATGCAATGACTCCAAACTGAAGACACATTTAACCCTGCCTTCCAGCTCAGCTTCTTCTCCTACATCTGGTGACAGTTACAAGGTAGGCTATTCTATATAATCAGGGAGTGAACGCCACACTCAGTAGCACTGATGATATTACCTAGTTGAGTAATGAAAAGTCTACAAGCAAGCAACCAACCTCAGAGATTATTCCACAGTTACAAAAATAATTTATTATTAGACTCTGTATCAAATGGAGTACAATAGAATTGAAGCTGGTCAGTAGCTACTATTTGCTTCATATCTGAAGTAGCAATTTTTACTTTTCCTGATTGACTATCACCGATTTTGGCTTTGGAAACTTCACATTGATTGCTTTTCCTACCACCTTTCCTAAGAAGCACCAAGAAGACCTGGTGGCGAGGCTTTGCACATTGAGAAACCAACAGGCTTCTGAAGAAGCATTCTTAAATTGAATAATTCAAATGCATGAAGAAACAAGTCACTGTTCTGGCTAGGGAAACAGGGAGTTAAGTTGCAGTGAATAAATAGTAAGCATCAAAAGGTTTAGCTCTGAACATCAAATGATTCAATTCACTCAGAAATTAAACTGCAGAAATTCTTGCTGGAGAATAATTACATGAAAGAAAACTAATTAGTATGAGAATAAGAGAGATTATTGTTTCATTGAATTAGTACAAAAGATGTAATGCTTTTGAGTCTTAAAAAAACAGCAAGATAATAGATCTGTCCTGAACCCTAAAAATAAACCTAAGGAAAATCCAAACTGCTTGATGATTTAAGTATAGCCACAATGTTTTTATGAGAAAGAGGCACTTACTAATCTGAATCTGTAGTAGCTGTGAAAGTTATCCATTCTGTAGAAAAGTCTCTATTTCATCATCCATTGAAAAATTGGAACTGTACAATTTAGAATCAATTTTTTTTTTTAAAAAAAAGTTGATTAATGGAATTAGACTCTCCTATCAGGATAAGTGATAAGGTAGTGCAGTGGTTAGAACACAGTACTGCAGGCTAACTGTGCCTACAGTCTAGAGTTCAATCCTGAAGGGGCTTTCCATCTTATTGAGTTTAGTAAAATGAGGATCCAGATGGTTGGGGGCAATATGCTGACTCTGTAAACTGCTTAGAGAGGGCTGTAAAAGCACTGTGAAGCAGTATACAGTATAAGTCTAAGTGGTATTTGTTGAGTCCTTCACGAAAGGCAATAACTTCAGGAGTCATTTGGTAGTTCTCAGGAGCCTCTTTATTGGTGACTAGCAGCTCTGCTACAAGCCGAGGCACACAAGCCTCTCTGCTCCTCTTAAAGACAATCCCCGGGCCAAACGGCAACATTTGGCACGCTTTGCACTTCACGCATGCGTGCGAGTGCTGGCACCAGCCAGTCTGGTCCCGGGCAGCTTGCAACTGCCCGGGACTGTTGCAACGTCTGCAGGCTCAGGACACAACAGTATTGCTATAAGAGATCATGTTTAATTTGTTAAAGTCTCAAAACCGATATCACTGGATTTCTCTTCCCTTTCCCAGTAACTTTGCCTGTTACGGTGTAATGAAAACAAAGTCTGCATTTAGAAAAAAACAAGAGTTCTATGTTGTTCTGGAAATGAATGGGAAATAAAAGATTAATATTTTTTTTAACTTTCTGCTTTAAGGATTTAATATTAACTAATAGCTTTTTTACGATTTCAAATAAATGCTTTTGCATTATCCAAATAAATCTTTTGTTCATATTTTCAACAAAGATGTATACAGGGACCATATGGGTTTAAGCTATAATCAAATAGGGCCATAATCCTAAAATTATTGTAATATCTGTTTCACACATTTTTTCATACTGAACAATGAGCTGCCAGGAAATAGTTCATACAAAAACAATTTCATTCCTCAAAAGAGAAGAAAATGTATTCAAATTGGGACACAAATATTAAAAGGGACATTTTTCATCTTGTATTTCTTATATAACAAACAGTTTAGTAGTTAATAAAATATCCGGGATATCTGGGAAATACTGATCTTTTTTATGTGCAACTACTGTTAATGGATCAGTATGAAGTAATTCTGCTACGCTGTATCTAAAATTAGACAAAATTTAACTGCCCACTGTTAATCCACTACAAATCACAATATACATTCTCTTTTTTTGTTATTTTTGACTATTATTGTTGTTTTAATGCTTTTATTTGTGGTGCTGGTCCATGACCATAATAAAGATTGATCGACTGAAGCAGTTTAGAAAATATACTAATTAAAATTGAAATATTACTTGCATGCCTAGAATTATTTTTCATAACATCATCATTCAACTTTTCTGTAACAACTTATAGAACACAAAACAGGCATGAGCCCTATTTATCATGAATAAACAATAACACCAAACTAATAAAATGCACTGGCATAAGCTTCCAGGCTGAGAAAAGTTGATTCAAAAAGCAAAGGAAAATAAAATAACTTTTCCCAATTACAGATAAATCTTTTCTGTAAAAATCTTTAATTGCTCAGTATTTGACAGATACCTGCCAAATTCAAGCCTCGAGATTAGTTTAGCTGTGTAAATCGGTGGTTTGTTTTTAATTGTAAGTCAGTCAATAAAATTAGCCTCTGTAGGAGAGGAATGCACAATTAAAAAAAAAAGAATGGGGAAATTACAAACCAGTTAAGATTATGTCTGGATAAATTTTTGAAGAAAGATCAGTATGGATTCTGCCATACTAAGTTATATATTTACCTCTTGTGAGCTAGAGGTGATATGCTTAAAAATCCAATTTTCTTGGATTTTCAAAAACTAAATCTTCAGAAAAGACTCAGCAATCATGGAATAAGAAATTTCGCCCAATTGGTTAAAAAAACTGACAAGAAAAATAAATGGGCCGCCAAGGATATATATTGGGGTGTAAATTGTTAATCTATTTGTCAGTGACATAGAGTTGGGACATTCACTAGCCACATTTGCTGATAATGTCAAACAGGATGATGGCAGAAAAGTTGTTTCAGTTATACAGACACAGCTTGATTCTTTTTGACTCCCCTGTAGATATTCCTATGTGATTAAAAAGAAAAAAAACAGAGAATTTTTTTTCCAAAAATGCATTTCCAAATGGGGGAGGGATATTAAAATAGCAAATTCACTTCAATATAAGCAAGTCTGCAGTAATAGATACTGAAGTTGAAAGCCTAACTTTGCAAATGCAGTATATACAATTTTGCTAACATGGTCTACATTAGTGATAAATAACAAAATAAATAATCATTCTGGTGGATGACTAAATGAAACATTGCACATTGTGAAAAAGGACATTTTTGAGGGCTGCAGGGCATGAGTGAGCAAACTAGCCTTCTCTATATTCCCACCTTATTTCTCCAGTCTTACTGCTATTCTGGTAACAGAATAAAACAGTTTTATTTCAATGTCCTTTGGGTTCCAGGTAACTGTGACATCAATCTTGGCTTTATTTGAAATGTATCTTTTCTTTTTGTGATTGTGTGCTGGTTTTCACATTATTGTTTATTGTAATTTGAGAAGATGATTGTTATTGATGATGAAGTTATATGCCACTCTCAGTCCCCCAAGGCTGGAGAAATTTATCAGTATGTAACATAAATGCATTAACAAGCAAACAGATTCCAGGAAACATTAAGAAAAATAAGGAAAGTGTTGTAAAATAAAATTGCCAGTGTAGCAATGTTTATATACAAAAGCAAGTTATAACTATAAATGAAATACAACAATTTTTTTCTTTTAAACAGGGAATTATGTAGCTAAAAGACATGGGAATAAGGCAGCTGAAGTGATCATGAGAGAAAGAAAGAAAGAAAAAAGAAAGAAAGAAAGAAAGAAAGAAAGAAAGAAAGAAAGAAAGAAAGAAAGAAAGAAAGGAGAGGGGGAGGGAGGAAGGGAGGGGGAGAGGGGGGGAGGAAGGAAGGAAGAAAGGAAGGAATTTGGGGTTTCATTTAGGAAAGCTAAACAATACATAGAAAGCAATTATTTGCTAGGTCTTATATTTTTTGCAATGCTGGTGATCATCCCCAGAAGCAGAGCAGCTGGAGAAATGGAAAGATTTCAGGCATGTAGTTGATATTGTGAAAAAGAATGCTAGAAGAATAGGGATGAAAATTCCTTTAAGATCCCATGATATGCTATCACTACACATTTATACATACCCTAAAACAGTGGTTCTTAACCTGGGTGATATTGCCCCTCGGGGGGGGGTGATTTCATTTTTCAGGGGGACAATGGAACAAAAAGGGGCAATGTGGGGGCAAAGGAATGAAAAGGAGGCGATACGGGGCGATGAAGCAAAAAGTTTTGGGGACACTTTTGAGAGTTTTTCGTACAGTGAATCACTGTATATCTGTCATACAAAAACATCAGATTGCTTGCTATTAGTGGATTGAATTGTGTTTTCAAATGTTCCTCCAGCTAGCTTCAGTACAGAACGCCGTACATATGTGAATACGCATCGCTTATCTTCATGCGCGTTGCACAGCAGCCTCTATCCTTTTTATATTTCTTTTTGCGTCTTAAATTTCACTTGTAATTCAATCATTAAATGTTACTGGTTTTCTTTTCCGGCATTTCACTTTCTTGCAATTGAATTTTGTTTTCAGTGGTCATTACATTTAAGTGTCTTGAATAAATAAGATAATAATGAAATACATGTATCACGAAATTTGGGAATAAAGTGACGGGTGGCACCAAAAATTTTCAAACAGTTGAGATATGGGGAAAAGACTGGAAATAAATTATTTGCATCGATATGTCCTGATGACAATTTTAAAGAAAATAAAAAAAGTGTTTGCATAAATTGAAGAATTATTTCCTATGTTGTGATTGAGAGGTTATGTTGGGGGAGGGGGGTGATGACAACTTTCTCATTGGCTCAAGGGGGGGATTCTTTCAAAAAGGTTAAGAACCACTGCCCTAAAAGATCCTGCAAAGTACAACTGTTACTGTATATACTTTCTTAAAGCAGGGAAAGAATACTGTACAGTCTCAATTACACATTTTGGAACTAAAACAAAATAGCATGAAAAGTTGATAGGATGTTAGCCAAACTAGCAACGTATTCTGTTTTGGGTCAAAAATGGTTCTGAAATTTTGCAGCACATCTGAGTTCTGGAAGATATGCATCATTTGGAATATTTCCCCTTACAACATTGAACCAGGCAGTGAGACCCCCCTCTCATGATTTCATATAAGTATCTCACAGTCAAGCATTATTAGGTAGCTTCCTGATCTATTGTTCCACCCAGCCAATCAGAGCACTTAGAGCCAATCCCTCATTTGAATGGCTGCCATTATATAAGGGCACAACTACAATGAGATCACTATCATTTGTAAGGGGGCAAGTAAGCTGAACGGGAGGGGTAACAACCAGCAAAGTCATGGCTGCTTTCCAAAGAGGCAGGAAGGCCTACTTCCGGAGGAAGAGGAGGATGCGCCAAAAGAGATACCGAAAGTTCCTGAGCAGACGAAGGAAACATAACTCTAGGCGAGGTAGGAAAGCACGAACCAGACACATAATGAGATATGCAAGGAGCGGCTATCGAAAGAGGCGTATGCCTGTGTCCCGATACCTGGACCGAAGAATCAGGGACAATGTGCTCTCAGCCCAAAAGGCCAAGCATTCAATGACTTCCTATAGGGGCAATATCTATCATAGGAAGCCCTTGAAGGTAGGTAGACCAAGAAAGAAGAAGCATTATAACCGTACCCGTTCAGCTTTTCTGAAAGCCAGACTGAAGAAGCAAAGAGCTAACAAAAAACGTGCCAAGCCTTCTGCTCTTGAGAAAAAAGCCAAGAGAAGAACACGTTATTCTGATGAGGAGGTTTTCTATAGTATGGCCAACCCTTCCATGCCAAAACCAGCATCAGAAGAAAGACCAACAAAGAAACACACTGTCCGCTTCACAACTCCTGGTAACACAAAGACCGAGCCCCAAGAGGACCCCTCCCTTGATAATCAATCAAGCCAGCAAACAATAACACCCAAAAAACGGGGCAGGCATTCAGCCACCCCTGTTTGCAAAAGCCGTTAATCTAGAGGAACATCCCTCACTCTTCTCTGAATAACACCCTGCAGGCCTCTGGAAAGGCAAGGGAGAAGTAAGAGGAAAATAACATACTAGCCTGCCTTAAAAGATCCAAGAGACCTTATAACTGAACTTTGATGAGACCACTTTCACTCCTACCAATCCGGAATAAAAATGAATTTGCTTTATCAACAAATTAGCTTGATTGGTGACTGAAAAGGGCATTTGGACAATTGCAAGACGATCTGCTGGAAACAAAAGAGAATCACCTAAGTAACCCTACGCCACTTGAGAACATTTATTTCCTTAACAACAAGGACGTTGATTTAATGAAAAAGCACAAAACTAAAGACTTGCCATAATTTGGTAAAGAAAGGATTGATGTACTGAAGGTGTGTTTTCCTCTCCAAGGAACATCTTAAAAGAGTAATAAAGCTGGATCTTTTGAAATGTGTGTTGTGGAATTCCATCAAGCACACTTGGCAAAATGGGGAAAAAATACAATGGAGAAGTGATTATTCCTTCTCCTACTGTGCTGCATGATGGCACAGTGGTTAGAATGCAGTATTGCAGGCTAATTCTGCTGACTGCCAGGAGTTCGATCCTGATGGGTTCAAGGTTGACTCAGCCTTCCATTCTTCTGAGGTCAGTAAAATGAAGACCCAGATTGTTGGGGGCAATATGCTGACTCTGTAAACTGCTTAGAGAGGGCTGTAAATCACTGTGAAGCAGTATATAAGTCTCAGTGCTGTTGCTGTTTATAAATCAGCAACCAGCCACTGATAAATATCTGCCTATTAAGGTTAATTAGTTCTAATGTTAATTAGATTCAGTCTCAGTCCCAGGCACTAAAGCACTATGTGAGTTGAGACTGGCTGAAAACTCAATTTATTTATTTGGCATATGGCTTATCATACATGGACTAACAATATATATTAACATTTCATCTGGATTCCTTTGAATCACTTGATTCACTGGCCCAGGACTGGAATGGGAATGGAATGATAATAGTCAATTGTAGATAATTACTTGATGTGTGAATGAAAATCACTGCAAACATTTATGCAAACATTTGTGATCTGCATCCAGTATAATATAGTATTGGTAACATAATTCCAACTGATTTATATTTAGCAGAGAGAACCCAAGCCTGCCAAAAGTTCCATTCCATAAAAGGGAAACCTCGTCTTAAGAAATGGCAATATACTATAAAGATAAATAAATATAGCTTGGTTGCTGTTCTCTTTAGATTCAGATCTATCAAAATATTGCTTTTTTCCCCTACTTTACCCATTTTGCACATAAATTATAGATCTGTCTCAGAACTCAGTTAAACTGCTCAGTTTTAATTCCAGATTTGTTTTCCATATCTCCTGAAATTATCCAATTCATTTTATGTAGTTATGTTTGGGAAGGTCCACGGTTAATTAAAAGAGAATATATATCCTTTCATTTCAAGCAATTTTTTTGGTTTTTGGTAAGGCCAAAGTTCAAATTCCCAAAAGTGGAATTTTATGGACAGTTAATCAAGGACACTCTTTTAGCAAATTGGTTTTTGATAACAGTAGCTTGTCATATGTCATACCTTTTTTCTTGGATCGTCTGAGAGGCTTAGGTACAAAGAAGCTTTGCCATCCGCCTGAATCCAAAATGTATAATTATTTGTCTCTGGTGCCATAAAAAACCCTCGTAGTCGTGCACTGGATAGCAAAACAAAGTTATTAAGCTAACTCATCTCAAACAAAATTCTTCTGTTGAATCTAAGAGATATGATTTGAATTAGTTAACATATAACAATCCTTATTTTAAATTAAAAGACCTTTCTTTTTAAAAGGCTCATAAAGGTGTGTTCACTATTTCAACCCAGAATATTAGAAAGGTCAGGAAATGACCCATGGTGCCAAATAAATCTTCTTTATTTATGAGCCATTGTGGCACAGTGGTTAGAATGCAGTACTGCAGGTTAATTCTGTTGACTGTTGACTGTTGGAGTCTCACCGGCTCAAGGTTGATTCAGCCTTCCATCCTTCCGAGTTCAGTAAAATGAGGACCCAGATTGCTGGGGGCAATAGGCTGGCTCTGTAAACTACTTAGAGAGGGCTGTAAAGCACTGTGGAGTTGTATATAAATCTGCTATTGCTGTTGCATTATTGGTATTAATGTCTTGTTTGAACATATCTGCGTACCTGAGGAAATGTACAGTTAATCCATACCAAAAACAATGGATATCTATGGAAAGAAGCTGTGACATTTACCAGAGCTTTTTGTATTCTATTCAGACATTCATTGTATAGGAACACTAGTGTGCAGTATTTTCATAACAAAATATTGATGCATTTCCTGATCTTGATCATAATCAGGTAATAGGAAAAATAGATCACATTTTAAGGAAAGGATGGAAGGTTGACTCTGTAATTTTTACTCTGGAAAATAATTTTAATTAATTGTTAATTAATATATGCTGATCTTATCATTTATATCTATGCATTGAATATTTAATCCCAAAATTACTGCTTCTTAATTTCAACTATTATACTAATCAGTTGGTTTTTATTTAGTGCATAATACTCCTAAATAAACTGAGAGTTATATGTGCCAAAATATACCCCCAAATTGGTTTGGCTTATCTGCAGATGGGCTTATCAAAGAATATATCCAGTAATACTTTATTTGCCTTATTTATTCATGGACAAGGCAATCCTTGAATTTTTAATGAAAGTACCATGAAAAATGTGGATTGGCTTATCTGCAGGTGGCAATTTTTTTCATGCTATTTTGGTTAAAAATGTAAGGGTCACCTTATCCATGAATGGTTTTATATGTAAGTATATATAGTAGTCTACATTTGCATTTTTCTCCTTTAAAAACATCTATTTATGTGATTTTTAGTAGTCAAAAATGACTTGATGGCATATAACCAATCAATAAATCTAAAACTTTTTTTGTTTTAGGCAGACAGCTTTCCAGGCCAATTAAAATGCAATTTAAAAATTATTAAATAAATAAAGCAGTGGTTAAAATGGAGATTAGCTTGAAATGTTATATATAATAGGACTGTGTAGCTTTCCAGAATCAGAGATAAATAGATGTCTGTTACTTGTTAAAGCTTCTCTACCTTCTCCCAGAATTGTACCTTTGAAAGCTCTCAGTGCAACAAAGACTCCTAAAAAGTCATTTTCTAACATCATATAGAAAGTGCATATACTCTAAGTGTTCTTCGGTTACCTTCCTTCCTCTTACATTATGACAAGTAACAAGTAACTTTTTGGAATGTTCCAGGAAAGATTGACTTAAATTGGTTTAATAATAATTCACCATTCTCATGATCACCTAGAAAATCTGAGTTATCATGGCTTCCGGTTCTGTGCAGCTAGAGCACGAGCTGAGGGATTGAGACGATTCAATCCCTATGGCTGATTTCTCTCTGTTTGGGGACCCTAAATGGGTCCAAAGCCAACCCGGAGATGTGGCAAGGAAGGAGGGAAGCCCCATCAATCCTAGGGAGATGGCGATCAATCTGGATGTCTGGGGAAAGCTCTCCAAAACTGACAGAAGAAAGGCTAGCGTCATTCATGAATCTAGTCCAAGCTACATGCAGCCGATGCCAAAAGCACTAAACTAAGCGTGATTGTAAACAGCTTGACTGAACTGGGTAAGAATATTGATTTTCTCTCTTCTATCTGACTGATTTCCTGAGAAAAAAGAAAAAACCCAGAAGTAAAAATCCTCTGAAAGTGATAGGGGTATCCTTGTTCCACCCTCCTCTAAATGGAAGTGGCAAATTACGTTTGGGGGGGAATTGAAAGATGGACTGGTGCTGACATCTAGTGGTGGATGAAAATACTGCCCTAAATATACAGCCCAGAAAGAGAAACCTGTTGTCATGACCTTCAAGGTGATGATTAAACAAAGAGCAATTGGACTATCTACAAAGTGAGAACTACAAAATTTAGAAAAGATTGACCTTCCTGGAGTATAAATATTTTTTAAAATTGCGACTTTAAAAGTGATTGGCAGAGAAAGGACATTTGCTCATTATGGAGCATCAGAAATCTGCAGAAAGAACATACCCCCCCCCAAAAAAAAATACTTACCAGGAGGAAATGTTTGTTCTGTTACAACAAATGCAAATGATATTAACTTCAAACCATGAGGAAATTAAAAATGAATTTGAAAATTTAAATGAATGCATTCTCAATTTAATGTAACAATAATCAAATGATCAGAAAACAAAAAATGAGAGCGATCATGTAAAGCAGACAAATGAACATAAGCTAGTGGAGAATCAAGTGGAGAAGGACTTACAAGAATCATTGAACATTGAAAAGATAACTCTAAGATCACAAAGTAAATTTGAGGATAAGGAAAAAGATTTGACAAAATGGATTGCTGAGCTGTTGGGAGTACCACAAGAAATGGGGAGACAAGGGATGATGAGAGAAATCTTCAATGAATATGAAGGGGCAAAATCTTTTTACAAAGACATGATGTTTGATTTGTCTACTATCAGGGCTTTTTTTTTTTTTTTGTCATAGAACACCCAGAACAGAGTTCTGGCACTTTTTTGGGATGGAACCTTGTAGGGTAAACAAGGCAGGTTGTATGACATGTGTGAGTTCCGGCACTTTTTTTTTTTTTTTTTTTTTACAAAAAAAGCACTGTCTACTATTATCCACAACAACATTTACAAGATTATAGAAAGACTCTTTGATGCAATGGAATATATTGATTGGGAGAGATGCTTGGAAAAAGAAGAGAGCTAAAGTGAGAATTGAGAAATTAGATGATGAAGTGTATCAGAGGGAATATTTAAAAATTAAACACTTGTTTGAATATGGCTGAAGAAATTGAAAGATTTTGGTTTAAGAGGGATGAACTCTCTAAGTAAGACAGCATCTTTTTTTCTTTTGTTTTTCAATATGAGAACTATAAAAATGTGTGGGATGATTAACATAAAGGAAATATTTTAGATATTTAAATGTAATTGATTTTAAGAAAATTCCAATGGATAACTAAAAATGGGAAAAATTATTTTGAATAGAGTTAAACGATTAGATGATTGGATTTATTAAATGGAACATTTAAAGATTAAACAGGTTTAATTATGGGTAAAAGGAACAAAAAGAATTTGGAAATAAGTGTATACTAATTCAAGAGAGATACATATTTTAAGTAATATATTATTTTCTTTTTTTCTTCTCCTTTCTTCTCTTTTTTTCTCTTTTTCTCTTTTTCTTTTTCTCTCTCACGTCTTTTCTTTTTCTATGTCTTTCTTTTGTGTCTTTTTCTTATTTATTTTTTAAGATATGAAAATAGATTTAAGTACTTTAAGGTAATTAATTCTGGGAAAATCTTAACCAGTAGAAATGTTTTGAACATTGTAGGGAACATAAATTTAAATAAGAATTGTGACGAGGAAACCAAGATGACCAGATAGAAAAGAAGCACGATATTGATGAGATTATTATTGGTAGAAATTTTAGAAAAATCTTTATATTTAATTGTTACCTATCAAATTAATAAGAATCAAATTAATTTAAGTTGCAAATTATTGGAAGAAGAGAAAATCAAGCAAAGTTATAATGTAGATTTTGGAATATGGAAATTAACTGATAGTGATTACTTTGTAAATATAAACCTAGACAACATGCTATTTACCAAATATCAAGATGTTTATATTTTTTAAAAAATCAATAAAATATATTTTTTTTAAAAAAGAAAGAAAATCTGAGTTGTCGCTTAGAATTGACAGGGAAAATCTTTGAGTATTCTAAACTCTCTCATTACCGTTCCTATAATCTTTCATGGCAATTGTATAAAGCAGAAATAAATGTATAAATTGCAGGATAGTCAGCATTATGTTATTGCAACTGTTAATATGAAGAAGACTTAATAAAGAACACTTATTACCTGAACAGTTTCTGTTTCTCAGGCAGAAAATTGTATGGAGAACTGGCATTAGAAACAATCTGCCAGCTGTATCCTGGAATCACTTCACTGAGATTAGTGTCTGAACCATCCCAAAGTTCAAAAATAAGGCCTCTGTTTCCTGATAAGTTGGAAAACAAAGTTGGAGTCATCAATAAATGAACAGAACCATTAGTAAGTTTATAAATGTGCAAATTAACCAGTGATCTAAATCAGTCCATAACAACCTGAGTCTAAGATCTGAGCCCCACCTCATTTCTCATTTGATCACTTGGATGGGCCATAAGTTGAAGATACCTGGTTTAATTTCACTGAATGTTCTATTATTGTCTGCTGCTCCAGTTGTACAGATTATCTTTTGTGGAGAAATGTGTTTAATTTGGCAGGGAGTACCTGTGGAGAAGAAAGAAGAGCATGAAAATGAAAAATCTCAGAGCATTCACATCATTCCTACAAACTCACTACACATTCCAAATAACTGTGTACGTTTTTTATCAGATTTTCATTTTCTGAGGCTTATACCATGAAATTTGATTTTATCATTTTTACCTGCAGCTGTGACTTTCATAGGTGTATCAAAGAAGTCCCCTGTGATGGTGAGATCAGTTCCACCACCTAGGCTGCCTGTAGCAGGAGACACTGAAGAAATGTCTGAGAAAAAAAATAAAAAAGTAATCGTAGGCTACATAAGTTCCCCTTCCCTCCCTTTATCTTCATAAGAACTAAGAAGAGTCAGGTCCAAGATGCTTTCTCAAATTATATTCCTGCCTTGGACTCAAGACACTCTCTTGGTTGCAACTCTCCTGTTCCTCCTCAGACCAGCTCACATTAAGGAAAGTGATTGGTGGACATCATTGGGGGCCAACCAATATTGGGACAGATTAGTTTCCTGTTAGCTCAAGGAATTTTGAAGGGCCATGCATGTCTGTATCTATGTCTACCTGCTAACTTTTTTTAAAAAAAAAAATCCATTTAAAAATAATGGAATAGTGATTCTTCTTCATTGAATATGAATGAGAGGGGAAAGAATAGAGATATTTTAATGACAAAATGGCTTCTATGCCTTCTTATTTGGACAGCTTGAGAATTTTTATACCTTTGGGACCATGTCCACTCTCTACACATTCTAAAAACCTAAAAGCTGAATGTGCCCCTTCTGGTGACTGTATAATTAGGTCTATCACCCCGCTAAACCCTCCTCACCCCTCTTTCACTCCTTTTCCATTCTTTCTTTTCTGTCCACCTCCAAAGCCACTCTTCAATCTCTTTTTTTTAATTAATTGAAGCTTTTCCTCTTACTGTTGTTTTAATATATCTGTAACAATCTTGGCCAGGGTATCTGGGGCTAACCCCATTTCTGACTAGTCTACCTTCTTCTTTGGTTTAACCACAGGTCTAGGGTGGATACCTGTCTCTACCAAAGTAGTGGCCTCTTCTAAGGAAGAATCTGTCGTTTCTGCCTTTTCCATGACTACTTGTTTGTTCTAGGCTCTGGTAAAAAGCCTGGTTTCTGCAGCCAGGATATTGGCCAATTTTGGCAAAGTCTGAACTGTATAAGGACCAAACTCCCTCTCTTTTGCAGCCACTTTTTTCCATGGCATATTTAACGACCTCCTTGAGTTTAAGCCACCTTCACTTGTGTGATTGCCACCCTGTGTTGGATATCTCTCCTTTTTTTTCTGGATATCCTATCTTTTGGATATCCCACTTTTGCCACCAGTTTGTCATAGGTTCTTTTAAGTATACCCAAGTCAGTAGGTTCCAAAACATAAGAGAGTCAACATAACAACTCAAGTTCCTAGGTAACACAGATACACATACACATTCACAGGCTAGTATTCACTGCTCACCACTACTCCACTCTTCCCCCCCCCTATTCTACTCTTCCCCACTGCTCCCACACCTCCTACTACTGTTCCTTCAACTCCAACACTATTCCTGGTGAGTTCTATTACTGGCAAAAGTATCTTTTTCTGGCTGGTTTAGGCTGCTTTATCTCCACACATGAACATATATCGCTTTCTCTCTCTCTCTCTCTCTCTCTCTCTCTCTCTCTCTCTCTCTCTCTCTCTCTCTCTCACACACACACACACACACACACACACACACACCCCAACGGTCACTCAGTACAGTTTTTATAGCCAACATTGTTGTGCTGGCTGGGGAGAGGGCTTGAAGAGACAGGACGACAGCTACACAGGTGCTGACCATTTTCTAGGTAGCTTGCCTTCTCACATAAATCCACTCTAAGAAAGTTCACTAAGCTAGAAATCAATTTAATAGTTCCAAAACACCCAAAAATGCTACTGGAAAACATACTGGGTCCTAGATAATCACAACTACATCTCATATATCTGGGGTTATATTGAAAAATAACAAAATAATACTACAGGTAGTATATGTTCCTTTCCTCTTTACACACTCAGGCTAAAAAGGAATAGATCTTAATTTGTCTGCACCTCAAATTAGAAGGCCCAAATTTTCCCTCTAAGGTGGGTGGTATATAATCTTCCATTACATTGGTTATATTCACTACCTATCACTAGAAAGTCCTATAGGACCATTTTCATTCTTGCTGGAACTTGTCAGGTTTAGGCAATCCCTATATATTAGATATTATTCAATGTACGTCCAACTCTTTACTGGGACTGAACTCCCACACTTGTGCTTTGATGACTATAATGCAGTATGGTTAAAACTATCTTGCAGATAAGGGTTTTAATTTATCTGGTCCTCAGCTCTCTAATCCAAGAGAGCAAACACATAAGAAAGGAACGTGTATCATTCATTGGATCTACAGACTTCTCTTTCTTCAAGCTGCTAAAGATACCATATAATAGTCATCAATGTGCAAGGCAGTGGTGGGATTCAGCCAGTTTGCACCACTTCAACAGAACTGGTAGCTAATTTTTTGTTGCCTAGGCCCAGAATGGACTTCCAGAAGTGGCATCCATACAGAGAACCGGTTGTTCACATATATGAATCCCACCACTGGTGCAAGGCCTGGAATTTCAAATACCAGTAAAGGGTTGAACATATAACATATAACCCTCAACCCCTTTTGTAAGGGCCTAAAGACTAATTGGCTCTGCCAATCAGTTGGGGCCCCAGTAGGGGAACAACACAATGATTAAGTAATAACAGATCCCACTCCACCCCTGCCCTCCCCATGTGACCTTGGTTTTAATGTCTGATTTTAATTTTTTATGTTTTAACTGTATATGTAACTGTAAGCCACCCAGAGTTACCCTATAGTAAGACAGGCAGCCAATAACTTTTATAAATGAATGAATGAATGAATGAATGAATGAATGAATGAATGAATGAATGAATGAATGAATCTAACATACAATGGCTATTTATGGCTGACATTCCAACAAGAACAATTTTGATTATGCAATGTTTCTAGTAGTTAGTAATGAATACAAGCACTGAAATATATAACAGTTATGGATTAAACTTGCTTTCACAATCCTTCCACGATCTTTCAAAATGAAGCACTGCAAATTTTACACCAAGATAAAGCACAGCACCTGAGAATGTCTGGTACAAGAAAAGTTCCTGTTTAGCACTTATAAGCCAAGCATCTTTGTGTACTATTGACCTGCAACATCAAAACAAAAAAATATATATTCAGAAATACTTAAATGAGGAGAAAGTAAAACTGACATCTGTAGATTATAAAATGAGGGAGAAATTGTAACATTATGATGAAACACTGAGGAAATCAATGTTTAAATAAAGGATTAATTGAACTTTTTAGCAAACATTAAAAAATATATAGCCTATTTAGACATATTTGATATTAGTTAGAGACTAAGAGACTGAAATCAAAATTACCCAACCTATTCAGTAGTATGGTCCTTGTAAATCTCATAGCTATTCATTTTTTCTTCTTGTGCTTCTTTTCTTTTATTTTTTACAGATGTTTAACTAAAACAAGAATTCAGAAAACAAAACATTCCCATACCATTCAACTGGAAGTCTGTCAGGTCAAGGACCTTTCCCCAGTTTTGTGGTTTGTATTGTCTATACAATTTCTTGTAATATCAGTGTAGCTGGCAAGTTATTCTTTTTTCTGATACATCTCTTCCATTTCAATTGTTTGCCAAGAAATTAATAATTTCTGTTTAATTACTAATGCCTCTGATTTATAAAACTGAGCATAGAAATCATAGAACTGGAAATTGATAGATTCTGTCTCAGTTCATAACTGACAATTATTGACCTGAATTTCTGATATCACATTTCATTGTTGAACATAGTCTGAGATTGCAACATGGCTACTGAGGAGTCCACAGCAAAGCAGAAGAAATCAAAAAGTAATGAGGCCACTACTTTAAAATTGTAGATTTTAAAAATGCTGAATATCTTAAAGTCCACTATGTCCATTTTGAAAAGTAAAAGGAGAGTGTTTTGGGAATATATCTAACAGAGAATCTTTGTTTAAGTTAAAAATCACCAACACTAATTATATGTTGATAGTTTGCGAAATTTCAGGATAACAGTTATGAAGTGTTCTTTCAGGAGTGTCCTTGGTGGAACCGTCAAAGTTAAAAGATAGCCAGTTTGATCCAGTGGTTAAGGCACCAGACTAGAAACCAGGGGTCCATGAGTTTGAGTCCTGCCTTAGACATGAAAAATGGCTGGGTGACTATTTATTTATTTATTTATTTATTTATGAGACTTATATACCGCTTTAAGTGCAAGCACTCTCTAAGCGGTGTACACCAATAAGTAATGTATGTATATATTTACATTGCCCCCAACAATTTGGGTCCTCAGTTTACCTACCTCGGAAGGATGGAAGGCTGAGTCAACCTTGAGCCGGTGAGATTTGAACCGCTGACCTGTTGAACACAGTCAGCTAAAGTGGCCTGCAGTACTGCACTCTAACTGCTGCGCCACCTCGGCTCATGACTGACTTTGGGTCAGTCACTCTCTCTCAGGCAAACTCATCTCAAAGGGGTTTCGTTGTGGGGAAAATAGGAGGAGAACAGAATACTATGTAGATATGCTCGCTGCCTTGAGTTGTTTAGAACAATAATAAAGGGAGAATATTAAATAAATAAATAAGAAAGTAAATAAATAAATAAATATCAGCAGAACAATGACATCAATTCTCTTTACTAACAAAGAACTGAACTATACTTCACTGTAATAGTGCTCAAATTCCATGTCAGTTCTGAAGTTGCTATTAACATAATCACTACCTCACATGATTCATTTGAGTAATATAAATTGGCGCAATCCAACTCCCGATCCTCAAAACAGGCTGTCATTTTAGAATAAGTGTTTCTTACAACATAATAATCATCAATTGTAATTTTTCCAGCACATTCCATATTTGTCTCCTTTTTTAAAAAAAATCTGAGTTTATTTGCATACTTTATTTTAAGTACTCAGGCTTCCAAGTAGATAATTTTTTTCTCAATAACAATTTCCCAACCTTATAGACATCTTGAACTCTTGGAAGCTTAGTAAGTAGTAGATATGTAAAGAGAAAACATTTAATTTTTGAATATGGATCTGAACTAAAGACAATTAAATATAATACTAAAATTTGATTTAAAAAAAGTAAATGCTAGCTCAACTGTGTTAACATTAGCAAAAAGTAATTCCATTTCAACCACCTGTTTGGTTTAGCTTCTGCCCACCACACCCTGCCCCCCTCATCTCTGTCCCTCTGACTCTGGAAATAAAGAATTCAAAAATTAAGCTACTATACCATATACAAGCAGTTAAGCTACTATACCATATACAAGCAGTTCACGACTTATCATCACATTTGAGCCCAAAATGTCCATTGCTAAACAAGACAGTTGTGAGTTTTGCCTCATTTTGCAACCTTCCTTGCCACAGTTGTTAAAAGAATCATTGCAGTTAATTTAGCAACATGGTTATTAAGTGAACCTGGCTTCCTTATTGACTTTGTTTGTCAGAAGTTCAGAAAAGGGGATCACATGACCCTGGAACAACGCAATTGTCATAAATACATGCAAGTTGCCAAGAGTCCAAATTTTGATCACATATCCATGGGGATGCTGCAACGGTCATAAGTGTGAAAAACAGTCATAAGTCACTTTTTTCAGTGCCGTTGTAACTTTGAATGGCCACTAAATGAATGGTTGTTAGTTGAGGACTACCTGTGGTAGCAAGCACTGATTTAAAAATTAAAGAAGAAAAGATAAGGTTGCTACTCATCAGAAAAGCTCAGAGCCTGGGAAAAATATTACTGAGCAGATGAGCATTTAAATCTTCTGCTCTTTTCTCCAAAGTAAAAAAAAAAAAGGCAGAAGACTGCGTGATACTAAATACATAAATAAATTTATTACCTTTTGCCAATGTATATGCTAAATCTACTTAAATACTTGCAAAATAATCTGGCTAAAGTGTTATCTTATGACCATATATTTCAAGTTGGTAGCTTATCCTGAAAGTTATAAAAAGTGATCTCTTCTGCTGGACTTCAAAAATTTAACAACTACAGGACTACAAGAGAGATTGCACTCGCTCTTAAGTTATTTCTTTTTTCTTTAGTGAAGTTATTTCTACCCTGTTCATTTCACTGATGTGTAAACATTACTGTCTCATGCTTGAAACCAGATGGAGATAAGAAGGTTTCATGAATGCAAGGCATGCCTAACATATGTGATACTTGGAGCAGATAATTTTTTGACGCTTGTCTCTCTGTCACCAAACATCTAATCATAACAGTGACCTAATTCCACAGCTCCAGAGAGCCTCTTTACTATCTCTAACTGTCAAACAATGGAAGAAATTGTTAAAATTATAACATTAAGCAAATGAAGGAACTTTTTTTAACTTACTTTCCCTTGTTATACACTGAAAAGCTAACATTGTGTGACCCTGTAAGAAAACAAAACACATTTTCAGTGTAAGAAGCTGAATGTAAATTTATGAATGCTGTATTGTAGGGGGTTTTTTAAGTTTTTCATCAGTATAATAAATTATTTTAAGAATTCTGAGCACAACTTTCACCTTAACCTTTTTTTCCCTAGGAAAATGATATTTCTGGTCTCCTTAGCTTTCACAAAGCTTTCATTTACTGTTTTATACTAGCTACTTATGGTTTGTCACGCAGGCTAGGAATGTCCACTGGAAATAAAGATAACAGGAAGGGTCAGAAAGGAAAACTAGCTGATTCCTTACAGAAGAAGACCTACACATACATTTTTATAATACTGAATAAAAACAAAGTAGTACATTATTTTCTCATTTCTACTAACCAATATAGTTGCCTTCCACTCGACACGCTACAGTTCCCAGGCCATTATCTAGATGAATAGGATAACTGTAAACAAAGCAAAAGAAAATATTACTGAAAAAGTTAAAATGTATTGTTCAAATTAAGAGAGATCATGTTTCTTTCTTACAAGACTTTTAAAAAGGTAATGATACATAAATCGCAGGATATTGGAATACAGGAGTTCATTGAACACAAAATCATTGAAATAATGTTAAATGCTTTTAAAGTTTTTGATACTAGATTAGGACATACTACATGAACTATTGTAATTTGCAAACCATAAATTTAATGATATTTTTTCTTTGCTAAAAGAGAGAATGGATGCATCTCTGTGTGCCAGCATTCAGGACTGTATATCCATGCTTAGATGAACATAAGGTATCCACTCTTTATAAGAAAATAGCTTCAGCTCCTTGAACATTTTTCTTGCCACTTCAATATCTATAATATAATTTATGAGATATAGTACAAACTAGAACTGATTGCAATACTCAGCATGTGATTGTACCATAGATTTGTATCAAAGCATTCTGATATTGCATATGTGAAAAAGGGAAGGAGGATAATTAGTTAATTATGTTAGTAAGGATGAACTTCTGGTTTACTACAGGAACAATTGTTTGTCATCTTAATCTATCTCTAGGTTCCCCATTCCAAGTACATTTTTTTTAATTTTTCTGATTCCATTCATCCATGCTATCTGTTGCCATCTACTTCCCAATATCAAGCACAGCCCGAGAATTGTTGCTTTCTCATCATTGCCTTCAGGGAGTAGCTAGTCTATATTTGGCCCAGACTATTTCTTTTTCTTGCAGAATACTTTTTTCTTAGTAACCACCTCCAAGTTCATGATTTGATGTTATCTTCTTTCACTTGTTGTTTCTCACTTGCCCAGAAAAGTTAAGCAAAATTAAGTGTACAGCTGTTGATAACAAAATCAAAAAGTTCTGGATAATGAATTTAAACAAAAACCTGCCACATAATACACCAAGCTTAGATAAAGTAATAGAAAAGGAAAAAGTTAAAATGCCCTGGGACAGGTACCTGCCACATAACACCCACACCAATTGTTAATAACAAAGACAAAAAAAATTGGATAGTGGACCTAGAGACAGCAGAATAAAAGAGAAAGAAATGGAGAAAAACACCAAATACAAAGATCTGAAAATAGAAGAATGACTGTGGCAAAAGAAAGCAAAGATAGTACCAATAGTCAAAAATGCCTTGGGTGCAATCCCAAAACAACTGGAGTACCACTTGAACACTATTGGCATTGACAAAATCACCATCAGTCAATTGCAAAAGGCAGTTTTATTTGGAACAGCTTTCATCCCTGTGACAATACTTATAACACTATCCAACAACATCTGTCTATCCGAGATCTTTGGAAAAGCCTCAATAGGTGGATAAAAATGACAAATCCAATCTAAAAATGGCTGACTATGCAATCAATCACAATATAATAATAATAGGTATTTTTTTAAAAAAAAAATACAACAGCAAGACATTTCTCAAATCTTCCCACAGAGCATTTGATGGTAATGATTCTGGGAAATGAGGGAAAGCCCAGCTCAACAAATTTTTGGGATGGGCTTTGCCGGTCTTCACTTCTCCCACTCAGAGATCTCATCTGAGATGATTTAGATGTCTAAGTGGAAATCTGAATCACTTGAGATCCCTGAGAGTTGAACATTTTATTAGGAAAAGATACAAAGGGCAGCAGGTGGGATCTTCAGGAGCTTGTTAGAGCTCAGCTGAGACTGTAAAGAGCTTGTCCACATTGTGCTTTCTGGATGTATAGATTGTGACTTGTTTTCAAAAACCATTTTAACAACTGAAATGAAAAATGAATTCTTATGTTAGATTGGATTTATACCTTCTGTCCTGACTATTGCAATGATGCTCTTGAAAAATATCTAGAAGCTCCAATTGATTCAAAATGCAGCAGCCTGCAGGGTTTTGTGCAGCCCAGGTATGCATATGTGTTACCCCTCTTACAGGACCTGCATTGGCTGCCAATTTGTTTCTGGGTAAAATTTAAGGTGCTGGTTGTCATCTTTAAAGCCTTATATAGCTTGGGACCAGGTAATCTGAAGGATCACCTCTCCCCAGTTACATTCAAAGCGGGAAGGTAGTGAATGTTGTGAATCCCTTCTTCTAAGGAGGTTCATCTGGGGTACCCAGAAGGCTTTCTCTATGGTGGCTCCCTCCCTCTGGAACATCATCCCTGCAGAGATTAGACTGCCTCCACACACACCCCCACACACATACTTTTGCAAGGCCCTGAAGACCTGGTTTTGCCAATGGTCCTGGGGGAACTCAGAGTGGGATGGAGGCCATGAAGTGGCTTGTCTGACTAATTGCTTTCACCAGGGAGGGCAGGGGAGGGCTATTGTTTTTATTTTTTGTAAGCAGTCACTGACAGTCAGTGAGCAACCATATAAATGTTAGATAGTTAGATAGATAGATAGATAGATAGATAGATAGATAGATAGATAGATAGATAGATAGATAGATAGATGATGGACGGAAGACAGAGGGGGGGGGAAGAGAGATGGATTGTACTTAAATAATTGAAACTGGTACTAAGAGAACTGGCATAAATATATGCAACTCCCTGGGTAAATGGGTTACTTTTCCCGCCCAGCACCCGCGCATAGCGCACGGCGCTGCAAAAAAAAAAAAAGCGACAGCCTGTCTGGTCCCGGGCAGCTTTGCACCTGCCCGGGACTGCCTGCAAACGCCCGAGCCGTTTGCAAAGGCTTGGGACATAACACCCCTTTCCCCCGGGCTAAAACTACTACCAACATACAACATTTATTTTATATGACATTTTGCTCCCCAGTGCTCCCACTGATTACTGGCTTTTGCCTTGCCAGCAATGTTATTTAATCTTCTAGATACTTAGGAGATTTCTTTGCTCTCTGTGACCTTCTTAGCTCTGGGTTACTGGCATAAGTCCCCTGACTGGAGGGAGGCGTGAGCCTGTTCTCTCTATTGTGCCCTGGTGTCTTCCAAGGACTGTGCCCGATGCCTGGCCTGCTTGCTTGCCCACCGGGCTCGTCAGGCCAGGGCTTCTGTTGCTTTGTGACCTGGTTGTCCTACCTAGCTGTAGACCCTCAGGCCCTTGAAGTGATAGCCACTGCTGGGCAACCCTGTTTTGTTTCCACACACAGCCTTTTTTTTTCCCTGTAAAAAGAAACCCCCCACCCCCAAGACCTGTCGGGAGCTGTCTATTCCCTGACCCCATTCTGTGTTTGGGCGCCGTGTGGGTTTTCTGTACTCTCCAAAACGCAGGTGTTCCCTGATTTGTGCTAGGGTTGTTGTAGTCGGGACTTGGTTCCTCGAATAACTCTGTGTATGTTTGACCCCCTGTAGGATTTGGGGTAAGGTCAGGCCAACCTTGGGAATTGTGTGCCAGTTCTCTTGCGGGGAATGATTTGTTGGTATGCCCCCGGGTATCCTCCGTTGCTGGAGTGCTGTGTGATGTGTGTGGAAAGTGAGTATGCCCCCGGGGTGACTCCCTGGCTGGAGTAGGCGTGAGTGCCTTTTGTGTGGGTAAGCTCCATGACTTTCTTTTCGGAGCAATTGCAGAACCTTGGGACGAGCCGTTTGTGGCTGGCTTTTTTCTTCTTTTATTCTCTGCTTGGGCTCGCTTTCTGTTTCCCGTCAGGAAGGTGGGAATGGGCAGTAGCTCTTTGCCCTTCCCTTTGCTCCAAAGGGTCCCCCTCCCCCCCCTGGAAAAGACCAGATTTCAGCAGTAAAAGGTCCACGCCCCGGCCCGCCCCCCGGCACGCCTAAGCGGAGTTTGGTCGATGTGCCGACGCAGGACACGACCGTTGTCCAGGGCAATCTCGTATGAGAGAGACCTGTGATCCTGGACACAGAAGCGGGGACCCATGTATGACCAGCCCGTATTGCGGCCCAAAACCCGTGGCAGCCCACAGTAGTTGTCCATGTGCCCTAGGATGTGAGGTAGATGAAGGCAGTCCTGTCCGGATGCAACCGGTCAAGTCTCGTAGTAAGTTGGCGCCCCCAACGAAGTTCAGCTGGACTTCTCCCTGTAGAAGTGGACGGTGTGGTGCGATAATAAAGGAGAAAGTCAGCCAACCTGTGATGCCAGTCCCCGTAGGTGAGTCTCTTCAAGGCGTCCTTTGCGATGCGCACCATGCGTTCAGCCATACCGTTGGTGGATGGGTGAAAAGGCGCAGATGTGGCATGACGAATCAGGTTTGCCTGTAAGAAGCTTGGAATTCGGAGGAGGTGAATTGAGGGCCGTTGTCAGACACAATGACATCTGGCAGCCCGTGTGCAGCAAAAATCCCCCTCAGTACCTGAATAGTCATTGCAGTGGTGGTGGACGAGACAGGCACAACCTCAAGCCATTTTGAATGGCTGTCAACAAGGACCAAGAAGAACTGGCCCTGAAAGGGCCCAGCGTAGTCAATGTGCACCCTAGACCATGGGGACTGTGTTTCCTCCCATTTATGCACAGGAGCTTGGGGCATCTCTGGGCGAGATCGTTGGCACCTGTGGCATGCGTGTACCTTAGCCTCAAGATCTTTATCTAAAGCAGGCCACCACAAGTGGCTGCGTGCAAGAGCCTTCATACGAACAATGCCAGGATGACCCTCGTGGAGGGATTCTAAGACCCTAGTCCTCATTGAGGTGGGAATGACAACTCTGTTTCCCCAAAGCAAACAACCCTGAGAAAGGGACAATTCGTTCCTTTTGGACCAGAAACTCTGAAACTCAGTACTAGGGCAGTGCTCAGGCCACCCGGACAGGACCCAGGAGCGGACACGTGAAAGTGTGTGATCTGTACCTGTTTCAGCGGGAACATCCCGGGCACTAAGAGGAAGCTCGGGCAAGGCTTGGATTGATAGAATGTTGACAGCTGGCGCGGGGTCAGCTTCTACTACTGGCAGAGGCAACCTACTGAGGCCATCAGCATGGCCCATTTCTTTCCCAGGCTTGTGGAGTAATGAAAAATCATATGCAGACAAAAAAATAGACAACCTAAGCATTCTAGGGGAAATGATGTGGGGAGTCTGCTTACGTGTGGTAAACAGTCCCAGCAGAGGCTTATGGTCAGTGAAGACCGTGAAATGCCTGCCATATAGAAAATCGTGGAATTTTTTAATTCCAGCAACAACAGCCAGAGCCTCCCTGTCTATCTGAGCGTAGTTGCGCTCGGCAGAAGACAATGTTCTGGAGTAGTATTCAATAGGAACCTGAGTTCCATCAGACCTGAGGTGACTCAGGACAGCTCCAACCCCGTAGGGGGATGCATCACAAGCGATGCACACAGGGAGAGACTCGTTGAAATGTGAAAGAACACAGGGGGGGGGGGGGGGGGGGGGGGGGGGGGGGGGGGGGGGGGGGGTGGGTGGGGGGGCACCCTTTTTGTTTTTTTTTTTAGAAGTGGAGCAATAGGCCTTGACTTCTTTAAAGCAAGCCTCATGTGGCTTGTGACCACGGGAGCCACACGCTTTGTTGTCTAGTAGCCTGTGAAAGGCTCATCTACACTAAGCTTTATGTGGAGAAAAGAATTGTAGAAATTCAGGCGGCCTAAGAAGGCTGAAGTTTCGGTCCTTAGACTTTGGCCTGGTGCTTCTAAAATAGCAGTTTAGTTTGGATGCAGCAGGATGAATCCCAGCAGCACAATTTTGAATCCCAAAATTCAGTAAGGAACCCCAATCTTGCATTTGTCTTTTCTGAGCTTAAGGCCTGATTGTTCCTGAATCTTAACAGAACAGCCCTTAGCCTTTCAGCTAGAATGTTTGTGGAGTCTCCTGCAATTAAGACATCATCAAAGTAGGGGCAAACCCCCGGTATGCCCCGCAGTGTGTTTTCCATTACGCTTTGGAAAATCCCAGGAGCGACATTCACTCCAAACTGCAGCCTTTTTACCTTAAAGCCTCCCCTGTGGGTCACAATGGTCTGAGCTATGGCAGCATCATCATCAACAGGCAGCTGTTGATATGCTTGAGCTAGGTCAAGCTTTGCAAAAACACGCCCCCCCTTGAGGGAGGCCAGAATGTGACTGACCACAGGAACAGGATAGGCATGTTGCTGCAATGCCTTATTAAGAGTGCATTTGTAATCAGCACAAATGCGAATGTCTCCATTTGCCTTTAGAGCGTGACAATGGGGGTCTCCTAAGGACTGGAATCAACAGGTTCTAGAATTCCCTGTTGGATCAGTTTGTCTAACTCAGTGTCAATTTTACTCTTTAAAGCAAAAGGGCCCCTTCTTGCTTTAATTCTAATGGGAGTGACAGTGGGGTCTAGCTTTAAGGACACAGGGGGTCCTTTGAATGTGCCCAGCTGGGGGCTGAAAACATCTGCAAATTCTTTGCAGACTTCCTGTAGGTCGAGTGTTTGTAAGCTGTTGAGTCCTGTGACGTGTATCCCCAGGGCCTCAAACCAATCGAGTCCTATGAGACTCGTTCGTTCACCCCCTACTACTAACTAAGTCTAGTGGACCTTCAAAACTCTTGTATTGCACGTTAAGGGTGGCCTCCCCCTTAACACACACTCTTGAGTTCTGAAAATCTGTTAATACAATATCAGAAGGCCTTAACTTGGCCTTAGTCCCACTACTGGAACAAATCTTCCTAAATGTATGCAATGAAATGATGGAAAGGGCAGACCCTGTGTCTAGTTCCATAGATAATGGAACCCCTTGTAGCTTCACGTTGAGTGACAGCTTTTTCTTCATGGGCTTGTGTGTGCCTGTCCTACAAATGTTTCTACGCGAAGCGAAAAACCTACCCTATTCTGGCTGGGGACTCTTGTACCCTTCAGGCGTTCTTCTTGAGGTTGTGCCTTTCGTCGGCCCAGACACACAGCTGCAATGTGCCCTTGTTTGCCGCATGCCCGGCAGGTAGCGGAGCGGAACTTGCAGTCGGTTCTCCTGTGGCGACCTCCACAGCCGATGCACTTGAGCGGAGCTGAAGAGCTTTCCTTCTGATTTTCTCCCTTCGCGGGGTGTAGACGGTCGACTTCTTCGTCCGGATCCTCCTCGGAGTTTCGTCGGACGTCTTCTTGGTGCACGGACGCACCCTCTGCACTGCTTCTGATCGGCCGCATGTTCTTGACGGCGCCGCCTGCTGCTTCTTCCGCGGTGGCTTCCCTTAAAGCGTCTTGGAAGGATAATTCTTCCTTAGCGAAAAGTCTCTGTTGTAGCTCTCGATGCCTCAACCCGCACACGAATCGGTCCCTCAGTCGTTCCTCGAGGTCCTTGAACTCGCAGGGCTTGGCGGCCTTCCGTAACGCGGCGATGTACTCCTTGGCTGACTCCCCGGACCGTTGATCCCTCTGCTCGAAGGTGTGGCGCCATGAGATGACGGACACCTTGGGGTGGAAGTGGTCCTTCAGCAGCTTCTTCAGGTCTGCGTAGCTTACAGACTCTACTGGAACAGGTGCTGCAAGTTTTTCTGCGATTTCGAAGGCGTCTTGGCCGCAAGCGCAAAGCAGGGTGGCAGCCTTCAAGCTATCTTCCCTCACTTGGTTTGCCTTGAAGTAGTTCTCCATTCTGGATACGTAGGACTCCCACCGCTCTGGATGTGAGACGTCGAATTCCGCAAGCCTTCCGATTTTCGCCATCTTCGGATCTTCAGGAGACGGGTCTATCAGCCAGCCTACCCCCGAATGCGCACTGGATTGGCGGGCAGCTGCTGAGTCAACACCGTTCCTCTTCCGCCGCTCAGGACTCCTTGGGTAAGCTTACACTTTTTCCTTTCCAGGTAGTGCAAGGCATCCCACCTCGTCGCCAGTGTTGCGTCCTTGGCGGGAAAACAGACACGAGAAGCAGCTGGAGTTCTCAGTTCTTTTATTCAGCGTTCAGCTTACAGGAAGATGGCTTCAGCTCAGCCCAAACGCCTCACAGCCTCTTATATAGGCAACTCCCGGGTAAATGGGTTACTTTTCCCGCGCCAGCACCCGCGCATGCGCACGGCGCTGGCGACAGCCTGTCTGGTCCCGGGCAGCTTTGCACCTGCCCGGGACTGCCTGCAAACGCCCGAGCCGTTTGCAAAGGCTCGGGACATAACAGTTAGATAGATAGATAGATAGATAGATAGATAGATAGATAGATAGATAGATAGATAGATAGATAGATGATGGACGGAAGACAGAGGGGGGGGGAAGAGAGATGGATTGTACTTAAATAATTGAAACTGGTACTAAGAGAACTGGCATAAAAAGTGTTACTTTTTTGTTTGTAACCAGATGCACAACACAGGTCTCACTGATGAAGATGATGACAGACTTTTTTTTCAACAATGAAATGTTATTCATTTATTTTAGCTTTATGTACTGCACTGATTGATTTCAATGGCTTTCAGTATAACAGCAATTTAAAAATAGATAATTATGGCAAGGTCTTTCTGCCCTCTCCCATCTCCAGTTGCCCAGCCTCTGTATTGATATGAACACTGGGGACAATGTCCATAATAAAATATATCAATTTCTGAATCCCAGCTTTAATCTTTTTTCTATGAAGAGAGGAAGGAATCCCTATGCATTCGATGGGAAAAGTTTTAAACACATTAACTGCATCAAGTCTAACTGTTGTGTCAAAAGAAAGTAAAGAATAAGCTCAGGTTAATACTTAACCTGTTTTCTTTTCCCGTGAAAAAAGTCACTATCCAGCCTCAGAACTTCTAAACAATTACTTATTAAAACACTTCACAAGATAGCTTCATTGATTTCCTGGTTCCAAACAAAGGTCTTTTCATGAATTAACAGCAGGAGAGGTTTGAAAACAGACTCAACCATAGGTCTCATTGAATCCCCACACAATGAAGTCTCGCTGACCAATACTGTAATTGTCAGAACTGATTTCACAACTTGAGATTGTTTACATCACCATCTTAAATCTAGAAATTAACTTTCATTAATACTTAGCAATCCAGGTCAGTACAGAAGATGGCCTCAGTGAATGCCACGGGACTTATTTTCAAGTGAATGAATGCAACCTAAAGCCTTCAAGGCACTTCTAAAACTAATTTATATTGATTCAAACAACCTGCACCAATAGAAGACCTGTCTGGTAAACTTCTAAACTTTAAAGAATATAGTGTAAAAGAAATGATGATTTATAACTTACATGCCACGTGTCTGCTCACTGGCAAGAGAACAAATAGTTATCCACCCATCATTTTCTGCCTCAAGGATTACAGGCCTAGTGGTGAAGGGATATAGTTAGTCAAGCGGCGGGGGGGGGGGGGGATAACATATTCTCATATATTTTCCCTCTCTTCTTCTCTCCTCCCCTCTAAAAATACCCTAATGAAGGTACTATCAATGGGAAAACCGCACCTCCTCCAACACTGGCATGGCAAGCCACATGATGTAAACAGGGAGTTAACCCCATACTCACCAAGACTGATGATGCTACTAGTTGGAAAATGAAATGTCTGCAACCAAACAGCCAAGCTCAGAGAGCACCAAGGGCTCCACAGTTAAACCCTGAGCTATAGATATTTTCTTCTATTGGAAGTTAATTATGTCTTACTTTTTGTCTTAAATTCAGGCACATCTCTCTCCCCTTATTGCTTCACAAAAATATAACAAGAAGTTTACAAGGAAGTGAAATGCCCTTCATTTACTATCTTCCACCAGCACTCTAGGAACAAATTGAATATTATGTCCAAAACATTATGTCAGTCAGCAAGCAGTGAAATCACTTGCTTATCGGCCATTTGTTTGAATCCCATTCAGGCAATTGTGTGATCTAAGCAGATTAGCAAAATAGTCCTCCTAATCCCGTTTTGCACAACCACATGTAGCCGTCAAGAGGTCACATCTGCTCTATTCAGCTTCAAATATATAGGAACGCAGATGGCGGAACAATATATATCCATTTATATCACTTCAATATCCTTATTAATTGCATTTCCAAAATACGGGAAAATACTACTGCACATTGTAACTCAGAGAAACATTTAACACGGGTTTACCCATCAATAAAGTCCATGCTGAAATTGTAAGTTTCATAATCTTGGGCCAGAATCCGACCATAAATTTGTATTACATTTCCTATTGAGAAAATAAAAAGTAGAAATTAGAATGTGTTGCTTCAAAACAGGGGGTTGGACTAGAAGACCTCCAAGGTCCCTTCCAACATTATTGTTGTTGTTGTTGTTGTTGTTATTATTATCATCATTATCAAAATGGAATCTATATGAAAAATGAGAAAGGGGAGTAATGCATTGATTTGTTTGGTGCAAATTCAAACCAATAAAAATGTCCTTTATAAGAAATACAGCTCAGAATAAAACATGTTTTCACTGTGTTTTTTTAAAAAGTCTCGTTCATATATACAGTAGACATAAATGAAGTTTGAAGTATCCCATTCCTATTATTTGACATTCCTCTTCTTCTTTATTGGCTTATGATATGCTTCTTTCACCTTTAAATCTTACATACATGCTATCACATACAGGACTGCTTTCTTCAGCCAAAAGTGGCACACATGACACACACTTTCTGGGGAAACCTGTTGGTCTTTCCCTATGTCTGCAAATTAGGAAGTTGATTCCGGAAAACCTTCCACTGGAGATTAGATTTACCCCTAAGTAAAGAGTCTTTTAAGAGCTGATAAAAATTGTGTTGTTCAAGATAGTTTGATGGGTGGGTGCTGTTTTGAAGTTTGTATATCTACCTCCAGTTGTTTTAGGATTAATTTTATTGTGGTATATTCATATTATGTGCAGAATTCTTCCAGAAGTTCCTGATTCCTGGTGCTCAAGTCTCCACAGAGCCAAGATAAGAAAGGCAAACAATGACACACGTGTGCTGATGTCCTCATGCAAATCCCACAATTTATATTTCTTGTATCAGAAGTTGTGATGTACAGGCAGTCCTTTACTTACAACCACAGTTGGAACCAGAATTTCCACTGCTAAGCAAGATGGTTGTGAACTGAATCGTGCCCAATTTCACAATCATTTTTGTCATGGCTAAGTAAAGCATTGCAATTGTTAATGTGGTCATTAAGTGAATCTGGCCCTCTCCCATTGATTTTGCTTGGGAAGATCAGAAACGATGATCACATGATCCTGGGATGCTGCAACCAACATGCTAATTGCCAAGCAACCATATTTTGATCATATGACCATGGGGAACCTGTGATGGTCATAAGTGCAAAGACCAGTCATAAGTCATTTTTCTTTCAGTGCCTCTGAATAGTTGCTAAATGATTGGTTGTAAGTCAAAGACCACCTGTATGTTAGTAACTTGGTATAGGGTTTCCTGCCTGAGCAGGGGGTTGGACTAGAAGACCTCCAAGGTCCCTTCCAACTCTATTATTCTATTCTTATTATATTCTAACTTACACAATCATATAATTATTGCACACGTGTTGCTTATACATGCTGTTCTCTTTGTGGCTTCATGGACATATCCATGTAGATTTCATGTCAATAGTACAGGCATGAGTTGTCACTGCTGCCTTCTGAGATGTTTTGTGAACTTTCCTCTTTGTGGGGGGAATTCTCCTCCAAATGCCAACTGAGATGTTTTTTTCAAGATCAGGTTTCCTAGATACTGCCAGTTTGAAAGATTTGAAAATTTCTCTTCTTGAATTTAAATCAATGTAAACTTCAGAATGTAAATTAGTTACTTTTGAATTCATTAAAATAAATTAAAATGTCTTTTGATAGCTTTTGCCATTTCTTTTGCTTGCTTTAAACCTCCATTATATTCTCTCACAAAACATTTTGTGAGATATCATTATGAAGGAACATAATTATATCATTGTAGAATGTAAAATGTACCTGCATCTTTCAGGAAAACTATAGATACACAGATTCCAGCAAGGTCTTCCACTTCCTGATCTTCAGCCCTACTTTTATAGCAATATGAGTGAGATGCTTGTTTTCTCTTTTAGAGCCTGGCTAAAAGCAGCACTTGCAGCTTTTGACAATTTAGCAACTCCTGCATATGTCCTTCCCCCATCTTTCTCCACAGGCTGAAGACCTGAAGTCAGGGATCGTTGCTTGCCAATAGCTTATTAGGGTAGTGTTTATATTAGTATTTCAGTTTTAAAGTCATTTCTTTACCTGGGACTCCATATGGGGGGTTCACTTGAAACACTACAGGTGTCTCTGCAATAGAGAACTATTAAGACAAGAATATATTATACATTTGATTATTCTTCAAAAATGGAATCCTTCATTCAGTTTCAATGGACTCCTGGCCCCTAAATTGAGCACCTTCATTTCATAAAATTAATTTAACATAGCAATGGGCTCTTAATTATACTTCAGCAAAATAGTGTGAATATTGATACTTTCTGTTCATTATGCATGTTATTGTTCTGTCACTAAGCACTTGCAAACTTATAGGCAAACTTGCAGTGCAATCTAACATGATACTGTCCACTTTTCTGAATGGTTGTGTATTTTTGCTCATAAATAATATATTTATGTTAGAGAAAATGCCAAAATATGCAAAAAATAGTCCTGATTTTAAAAAGCAGCAAGATGAAAATAAATAACAATAATAGATATGTAAATCAGATGTAATGCACTTAACCTTGGAGAAATTATATGGGTCCACCCATTCCTAGCTACATAACATAGTTTTCAAGGTTGGGCAATGATACCGCTATTATACCAACATTAAAGAATATACCAACACAAACCCCATTTGGAGACTTTTCAGGCTCAATTTTCTTAAGCTTGATTTCTGGGGAGCCTATATAAATTTTGGTGAACTTCCACGAGGGCCATCAACCTTTACAGAACATGTATTTTTGGATAAGAAGGAGATAAGGATCTCCTCTCGTCATACTGATTATCAAAAAATGGATATCAGTCTCGCAAAACACTTGTTGGACATGTTTGATACTATCAGGAAAAAAAATCAACCAAATGGAACATTTTATAGAAGTTTTCTTGAAATTTATCATAGCCAGATGCTGTCTATATTGCCACAACTATTAGAGAAAGAATATTTTTTTTCATGTCCATAGGTCTCAGGTTCCCAAAACAAAAAGCAGCAATTTATGTTTTATTTACTTGGTTTAAGTTTCATTTGTATCTCTCCAAGAGTTGTCACAATTTTTGTAAGTCAGCTGACCTGGAGAACAGGATCTTACCTTTAATATGCAAACTGTTAAAAGATGACTTTGTCATGCACAATCAAAATTAGGTTGTATTTTTATAGGATGCTAGAAGTTCTAATTTATAGAATGTTTTGATATGTATTTTGCTTTTGTTTATCATTTAAACTACACCTATGTTGATACAGTTCCATTATTTAGTTAGAGTGATAGAAAACCCAAGATGGTTTCTCTTTCAGAACTCTGCCCCAAGTGTAGGAAAAGAGGTACAACTTAACTTAGCAACAAGATATTCCATGAAATCATATAGCAAAATTAATCTTGCCTATTGAAATTCTTCTTGGAATAAAAATAATAGTAACATCCAACATTGCATTAGCAGCTCTTCTGTCACTAGTCCTATTCATCGGAGTCTCACTACTTAAGCTACTTTATTATGTACCTGGAATGTACAGTTCTCTTCATATAATTCATCTAGGTTGCTGATACTCTGTTCATTCAAACTCAGCAAGAGATGGTAAAGTCCTTCCTGTGGAGAAGACCTTCAAATAAAATAGTGAAAACAGAGGAAAACTCAATGTTAATAAGAGAGACAATGAGCTTCTCATTTTGCATTATTCAGTTAATTTTAAAACTAAAGCTAGACATGAGGAGGCTGATTTTACCTAAAAAATGTTTTTGCCCTCAACTTTCTGTAGAAGAGGAGGAAATGACAGAGAAGATACTTCAGGGTACAGAACAGCAGGTGGGAAAGGACACTAAAAGTAGAACTGGATGTGAGGAAGAAGAATCAAGAAGATATGGCAGCTTCTTCTTAATAACTTAGCCAGGTATAGTCTTATCTGTTAATCTAATTCAGTGGTTCTCAACCTTTTTAATGCCGCGACCCCCAACCAGTCGTAAGTCGAGGACTACTCAACCAGTCGTAAGTCGAGGACTACTCAACGGGGGCAGCACTGTTTGCAGAATGTGACTTTTGGTGGGCTCAGCAGGGCAGAGACAGCCTGGACACTTCCTATTGGCTTTTGAAAGCCAATAGAATTAGACTCTGTTCAAGAGATTCTATTCTATTGGCTTTCAAAAGCCAATAGAATAAAAGGGAGTAGCACAGCTAAGGAAAAGGGGGAAAAATGGCGGACTGCGTTGTTTGGCGACCCCTGTGAAATGGTCGTTCGACCCCAAATGGGGTCCCGACCCACAGGTTGAGAACCACTGATCTAATTGAACAGCTCTAAAACTGACTATAAAAAGAAGGAACAATTGTATTATTTTTACTGCATGCCAGCTGAGAACCAAGGCTTTTCAAATATACATAAGCGCAAACAACTTCATCACTGCAACAGTTGAAGAGAGCTTGTGCTTAGAAGAGTTGCACCATACAGTTTTAAGCAGGATAAGCTTTTCGTCACATAGAAAAAAAAAAAAACACTTGCTGCATTTCAGGAGAAAAAGCTGTACAAAACCAAACAAAACAAAACTGGGTGATATGAATTTTTATTGGGTTGGTTGGTTGGTTTTGGTTTATTGTTACCGTAAGGATGAAGATGGACAAAACAAACTTTATATGGAATACAGTTACAAACCACCAGCAAAGTGCACTAGGTTAATAGTTTAAGTTAATAATAATTATCCCGAAACCTAATCTTTAGGCTTAAATATTTTTCTGTCAGTATTCAGGTATGCGTTAGACTTGTTAATCATTATCTGAAGGTTTTTAAAATGCGGACTTCCTCCTTGGCTCTTAGGTCAGAATACAGACTAAAACCATTTTATTGTTATTCATCAATTTCTTAACAGAAATAAATCACCAGGCCTGAGGAGCTGTAGAAACTACTCAACAATATGACTTTTTATTCTACAACCAGTGATGACTTTGTTCACCCATCTCCAAAAGTCTTGTACTACAGTTTCCCTAACATCCAAATAACAAAGTCACTGGATTGCCTCGCCTTGAAATATTATATAAAACAGGACAATTGTTTTACCTTTACTTTAAAATAATGACGATTTATGAGATTTACATTAAGCTTTAAAAACAAATTTATCACTTAATTCTCATTACAATAGGACTTATTTAGTGTGACCAGTGAATTGAAAAAAAATTGAAAACTGCTAAATGTATAACACAACTCATTTTGCTGCTGGCATGACAAAATAAAAATAACAATTAATCTAAACATCTAACTGACTATGCAATCAACTACAACAATAATAACACTGCTGCAAGATAGTCATAGAGACTGATTACAAACAACAGTGTGACAAAGCAGCAACAATGATACATTGGAAGATCTGCAAGAAATACCACTTGCCTGCAAACAAGAACTGGTGGGACTACAAAATAGACAAAGTAATAAAAAATGAAGAAGCTAAAATGCTCTGGGCCTTTAGAATTCAAACAGGCAGGAACCCGCCACATAACACCTCAGACTTAACAATTGTTGATAAGAAAGACAAAAAATTCTGGATAGTGGACATGACAGTATTCAGAGAGAGCAGAAGAGAAGAGAAAGAACTGGAGAAGATAACAAAATATAATGACCTACAAACAGAAATAGAACAACTGTGGCAAAAGAAAGCAAAGGTAGTATCAATAGTAATAGGTGCCTTGGGTGCAATCCCAAAACAACTGGAGCACCACTTGAACACCATTGGCACTGACAAAATCACCTTCATTAGTCAATGGCAAAAGGCAGATTTGCTCAGAACAGTTTATGTGCTGTGATGGTATCTCTAACTCCACAAAACATCAACATCTCCCTATCCCAGGTCCTTAGGAGGATTTAATTGATGGATAAAAATGCCAACATCTGGCTGAGTGTGTGACAAACCTTATTAATAAAAGCAATGCCTTTCACTGCATCACAATACTATTTCTTCCAGTTAAATTGGTGCATTTGCATAATACATTGAACGTATATCTCATAAGCTAGTCTGATTGAAGTTTATCTGTCTTGATGTGCAACATCAGCTCTCTGCTGACTAAGACACAGTTCTACAATAAGTCATTTCCAATATGTTTCTGGTACATTTTTAAATATGTTTGGATGCCCACTAAGTTTAAAGGAAACTCAAAGCTTTGAGTAGTCTATAAGACATATCTTAACACAGGCCAGTAATATTATACTCTGTTTCTAGTAATTATCATGCAGAAAATAATTTTTACCTTGTTTGGCATTTTACTGTGGACATGAAGAAACTGACAGGCATAACATCACACAGCACTGGATGCAGCTTTGGATTCAATAATGTCATTTCGGGCTGTGACCAGTTGACCAAATGAGAGAGAGCTAATGGTAAGCAACAAACAAATAAACAAAACCTCAAACAATATTATTACTATTTATCGTATGCCATGTTCACATCACATTTCAAATCTGAAATATTTTTGAAGTAAAGAAGATTGTATAGGATAAAAAGTACACTTTATAAGGGACATGGGAGGCATAAAAATAATAAATATTGATATTCCTTTTCATAAAATGTACCAGATTCAGATATTATTAGTATATCACAGATGTTTTCAAACCTATAATAAAGAAAATTATATTAACATATGCAATAGATTATCTTTTCTTTTAGCTCTTTCCTTATTGTGCAACTTTATGGCAATTTATTAGCTGATTGCCAAGTTGTCCCTTGTTTTCTTCTGTTTGCATAATTATAGAGCATGTGGCTTGCTGTTTTTCAGGACCAATATTTTTATTTACACACTAGGAATAGCTCTCTGAAAACAGAAAGTTTATGCAGCCTGAGAACAAAAGGTCTGTAGTTTTGTTTTTATGCTCGGCCACAAATTTCTTTAATCTTTTCAACGTTGTCTGATTTTAGCACTTAGTTTTTAAAGAATGCTGCCTGAGATTCAGGAGATTTGAAATTCCATCAATCTGAGCTCAACTTCTATTGATGGCAGGATCATTGCTTAGTACGGCAATCTGTGTCTAGTAAAAAGCTGTAGCTTATCTAAGGCATGTCCTTGATTCCACCCATCTACCTCTTGTGGTTTTCTTCTTCTGTGTTTACTATCCTCAACCTTGCTAAGCATAGATAGTATCCTCTGCTCATATAATATACCCAGCTTTTCCTTGCTAATCATTACCTTAAGGCAGTGTTTCTCAACCTTGACCATTTTAAGGCATGTGGACTTCAACTCCCAGAATTCCACAGCCAGCATTGCTGGCTGTGGAATTCTGGGAGTTGAAGTCCACATGCCTTAAAATGGTCAAGGTTGAGAAACACTGCCTTAAGGAAACATTGTTGTTTTTTTTCTATTTTGGGGTTCTTGCAACCCATGATGTTTTAGTAAAATCATATCCATAATTTGAAAGAGTCTACCTTCTTTTTCTCACTCATGCTCAAAATCCAGCTTTCCTAGTCATACATTACCACAGGAATTTGAAATCAAAGAATTCCAAAGTGTATTTGACAAAGATCAACCTAAAAGAGGTATTTTACTATTCCCCTTTGCTCAGTAGAATCAGACTGTGGAACAGACAAACTGTAACTTAGCAATATCTGAAGTGCCACATGGTTCATATGTTCATATGTTCATATTAGTAAAGTTGGAAGGGACCTTGGAGGTCATCTAGTCCAACCCCCTGCTCGGGCAGGAAACCCTACACCATTTCGGACAAGTGGCTGTCCAGTCTCTTCTTAAAAACTTCCAGTGTTGGAGCATTTACTGCTTCTGGAGGCAGGTTGTTCCATTGGTTAATTGTTCTCACTGTCAGGACAATTCTAAAATAATGTCATCCTAAATCATGTAAAGGAACTGCTTATCTTAAATAGGTATTCAAAGTACCATCAAAGTTTATTGTGATCCAGGTTCCACCACCAAGGCTGCCACTTTTAGGTTCCATGATTAACTTTGCCAAGGTAACTAAGAAGAAAGAAAACACCATCTGTTATGTAACAGCAGAGATAGCCACTTTCCTGATACATAGATAGTCCTTGCTTAATATCAGTAATTGGGATTAGAATTTTTGCCACAAAGTGGTACAGTTAGAACATGTAATGTCATGTGATGGCAATCTGAGCAGTCCCCATTGCTCTGGTTAAGTGAGGTTTGTAGGTCTTCAAGCAAGGATTTTCTCGCCTTGATTGGGGAGGATAGGTAAGTGGCTGCTGTGATGTAGCACGACAGCAACAGGACCCTTGGATGGCTGCCAACAACAGGAGGGAGTTGCACTGGGACCCACAATGGTGTGGTATGAGCATGGTGAGCCAGAGATGGCTGCAATTACCATTCATTTCTCTTATATGTGCCTTGTTTGATGTTAATATTCAAATGAAAGGAATCATATGAGATTTTCCCTTGCTTGATAGGATCAAATAGGCAGACATACTTCTGTATAATGAATATGTTATATAATGATGTTGCTCCATAAAGTGGTTTCATAGAACTTACCTGCAACAAAAAGAAGCAAAGTCTTGAAAAAGAATGGCATTAAAAAATCCATCTTTATCCTCCTCCTATCCTTTCAATTTGAGACTTCCTGTTGAGATTGCGACATCATAAATGATCAAAGCTTAGCAGTTTTCCCATTTTTCCCTGCAAGAGAAACATACTCTACATTCCTTTATTCACATTAGATCCCTTTGCAGTACAGAGATAGATGCCCAGTAGACATTTAACACTAGATCAGAATAGTTATATAAAACCAGGAAAAAAAACCTGTCAAAGAGAAATTTCTTCTCATGTCTTTGAATCAAAGGCGTAAAAGATAGATCTGAGAAGATACAGAAACATTTTGCTTCCCTGCATGTATGCTTGCCCATCATGCTATTCCCTTTTGGGATAAGTAACTTTATACAAAGCACAGAAAAGGAATGAAAAATATAAGCCAACTAAATTATAGGCTGAGATAAGAAAAAAAAGGGAAACATAGCTAAATCTGGTTTGTGCCAACAGTTTCACTATGCATCTCCTTATGGTTCTATCCTTCCAAATAACCTTTACTTCTACCATATTATAGACAGCTTCATTTGTTGCCTTTTGTTCTTTAATATTTTTCACCTGCTCCTTATAAGTTCTATCCAAATACAGTTCATTTATTCCATAAATACAACCATGCTACTTTCTTTCTTAGTGGTCACTGAATGTCCACTATTATTCCGCACCCATTCATTCTTGACCCGATGTCTACTTGCACTGCATACAACATATTTTTATATTTTCCTGACATACTCATAGAACAAAGTGGACAAAGTATACATATAGCATCCTTTTTGCTTTTTTGATTAAAAAAAATAATTCTTTACAACATATTACTGTTTCCTTTTTTACCAAAATTTCCATATCTAATAAGTTTCCATTCATTTTTCTATCTTTAGTAGGAAATAAAATCTAACAAAATGCAAAAATATGTCTTTTTTCCTTTTGATACTGATATATAACTTGCAATCTTTCATTTCATTTCTTCTATCAACACAACTATCTTGGTCTTCAGTACATCACCTTTCAACTGAAGGTATCATAAAATCTAAGACTTACTGAAAATCATTTGGATTCACAGTGATCCACACAGCCTTCTATACAAAATCAAATGCATAGTCACATTTCAACCTTTACTAAGATCACACAAATTCATTCATGAATAGAATAAACAACAAACCATTTCCTTAAGTTTCTTTTTTTCCCCATTTTCTATTAATTTTATTTGGACATTTTCTGATATCGTTCTTAAATACTGTTTCCTACACATGTCATGCCTTCTTCTCCTGTACTGTGAATTCATTGTTGTTTCTTTCATTTCTTCCTTTGCCTTCCATATCCATTTTTCCTAAATTCCAGTTTTGACAATGCCAAAAAACTGTCTGTCCAATGCTCAACATTTGTCATTACACTTGTATCCCTAACTAAGTTTCTCAAACTTTCCCCATTAAAAAAATCAAATGAATCAGGTTTTTAGATTTATTCTTATTCCTTTGTAATGAGTACATATGAAGAAAGTTTAAACCACATATTTAAAATGAAGAAAGCTTTTTTAAACGAACACTTACCAAAAAAAAGTATTCATTTTGGCAACTCCAAATAATCCACTCATTTTGTTCTATGTCTCATTTGATCAACTGAGGTTTTCACAGAGTATTTTTTTAAATTAAGATCTAACTAGGTTACCAATCACACCTATGCCATGTGCAGTGTTCCACAGTGATATTAAGGATAATAGTGGTCACTTGTGTCATATTTTGGCCAATATGCCACAAACACAAATTTTTCTCTAAGGCAACATCCCACCATTCCATGTCATTAGTCAACATATAGTTGCTTTTATCTTAAGAGGTACATGCAGTGTCTCTGAATGCAGAGAAGTTGTGGATATGATTTAAAGCATCTCTCTTCCATAAGAAAATAATCTCAGGCAGATTTTCTGTTTCTGTTTAAACCAGTGGTGCTTATTTATAAAGGCATTAACAGCTTGGACCCCTACTAACTAAATTCTTATGGTTGTATTAATCTGCCTATATTTGGATCCATCTACCTGTATTAATGTTCCACCTTCAAAAACTAGGTGTTATGTATCCCATAATGAAATTCCCTCCCAAAGAATTAATAAAGTGGCTTATTTGTTATTATCCTTCTAGTACCAGCTGCTTGGTTGATTTTATCAAAGCATTTTATAGATTTAATGGATTTGTTTAATTTCACTATCATTGAAAATAGGACTAAAAACCATTCTGTATAGCAATACACAAATTTGAAGTGAAAGGGAGAGTTCCATTACTTTCAGTTCATTCCCCAACTATATGAAATGTTTCATATATAACAATTTATTTCTTTAGATCAATTTACAATATTACAAGATTTCCCAACTTCAGAAAAGAATAGCACGAAACCTTTGTGCTAAGCAACAAACAGTGGTGTATACAGCTGGTATCCTGGTTAGAAAATCTCTAGGTCAGTAGGTGAACAGCATTAAGAATGGGAAAGCACATCTAGACATGCGGCTTTGGTCAAATATATCCTGGAGTCTCTCCCCCCCCAAAAAAAAACATTAATCTACAGTAAAACAACCATTATCAACATTAATAAATTTTGAAACCTACCATTATAGCATTGGTTTTTTCCTTTTTTGATCCAACATTCTGACTGTGGTAAATGAAAATTCAGAATTAGTTGTTCAGTACAGTTCCTTTAAATTCTTAAAATTTCATTTTGTTCCATTCTCCTTTCTGATACTGAATCAAAGATGGGGGGGAGCCACCCAAATATTACTTTCTTTTGAAAACTGGAATAAGTTGTTCTGTTACAATTCTGAATGCTTGTGATAGGAAAAATAAAAGGGGGAGAAAACCCATTTTGCCTCAGGCCAAGCTTAATGATTAACAGAAGCTAGGTATTCTATTAAACAAACTTGCTCCAAGTATTTTTTTAATCATCAGAATGGTAAGTAGCTTAAAATATTTTTGGTAAGGCAATGAGCATCTTATTTGATGTTTTAGTTTTTTTATAAAAAACTATTAATACTTTTTTTGTTTCCCATACATGATCATTAACAGACTTTATATATTAAACAGGTTGAGAGAAAAATCTCTTAACAGGGCATGCTTCACTCAGGCATGGTGACCTCGTACATTTTTTAAAAAAAGAGGTATAGTTTTTTTTTCATTATTCAAAAATGTTAACTAGAATGAAGCCACTTTTAAATGCATGAAATCTAAAAGCACTACTGTATGGATATTGGAGGATATTACATATTTCTATCAATTCCAGTACTGTGAGTGAATATTGATGGCCAGTAACTTAACCCAAGACAGAATTGCTGTCAGTTCTGAAGCCCGCTGACTCTATGACTGTACCAACTATGACTCCCAGCAGAATTGTCCTCTCCCAGGACCAGCATATTTTCAATCTGGGGGGGGGGTGTCCTCTTGGACTCAGATCCTGCTAGATGAGCAGATGAAAGCCATGTGTCAGTTCTGCCATCTCTGGCTTGGAGCTTTGCAGGTATACTGCTATCAAAAGCTAGGGGGTGGGGGGGCAGGGAACAAATGGGCAAAAAACATGTATGGGGCAGAGATGTGGAATAAGGAGGTGACTGACATCTTGATGGACACCAGAGATGCACAGAATCAGCCTGTGCCAGCCTTTGAGGTCAGGAAGCCTGAGAATGGAATGTGGATTGTGATTCTCAAAACACTTTTGTGTGACTCTATTGGCCAAAGACAAACTGGCCAGGATAGAAGGGAAAAGTTTGTAACATTTTCTGCAGGAACCTTAGTTCTAGCCTACTTTTACTGCAGCCAGTAACCTCTAGTAAAAGAACCTATCACTCCAACCAAAGGGAGTTGAGAGTCTTTCTTTCCCTAGAGACCTAACTGGGGCATGTCCGACACCATGGCCAAGAGATTCTTTGGCCAGCTCTATTGGATGCACTCGTTGCAATCTTAAAACAGGATGGGCTGAGATGCTTGTCATCTCTCCTCTAGGCTCCAAAATTTTGTCTACATGGGGCAGTCTTTCATGACCATTCGGAGACTTTAGCTAGTTTACAATGCAGTTGCGCAAATGCTTATTGATCAGTCATGGTACTGCTATATTACACCAGTGTGGTGAGAGCTGCATTGACAATCAGTATGCTTCCAAGCACAATTCAAGATTTTGGTGGCAATCTTTAAGCCTTGAAACCTGGTACCGAAGAGTCCACCCTTTTGCAGATAGCTTCTGCTCATCTGATCTGCACAACCCAAAAGTGTCTACTAATGATTCCCATCTCCCAGGAGACATGGCAATAGGGGCATTTAATAATAGTAGTAGTAAAGTTGGAAGGGTTCTTGGAGGTCATCTAGTCCAACCCCCTGCTCAGGCAGGAAACCCTACACCATTTCGGACAAATGGCTATCCAGTCTCTTCTTAAAAACTTCCAGTGTTGGAGCATTCACCGCTTCTGGAGGCAGGTTGTTCCCTTGGTAGCTTTTCTCTATGGAATAAGTTGCCCCCCCACAAGGCAAAAATGACCCCATTCTCATGGCCTCCCAGAAGCTGGTAAAAACCTGGATTTTCCAGAAGACTTCAGGGAATGATTGTGAAGCCCCTGGCACTAAAATGTTGCTCCATGAGTCCTAATTATATGACGATATCACTGTATTTCATTAAAAGCCCTTATAGCTCTAATTCAAATAAAAGCATATAACCAGTTTTCAGAGAACTCATAAAATGTGTGTGCATGCAGAGATATGCTGTTTTGAAAGAAAACAAAATGTTCAATTCCTACTCCAAACAAGATTTCAAGCTTAACTAGGGAGGATTTAGAGCTTTCTGGGCACTGGGTGGCGGTGCTGAGCCACAACTGAGAAATGGAACCAGTATATATTCTGCATAAAGAATAGTTCTGTACAACCAACTTAGAAAATTAGATTTTTGTAAGCAACTGATTTTAGCACCAGGGCAAAGTACAGACTTGGAATCCCCTTCTTTAATTATAAAATTAAATATATAGAACAACTGCATTATATAAATGAGGAGGTAGTACTCAACTAGGATACATTTATTAAAATTAAGACCACAAATTATCAAATTCACATAGCTCAAAGAAAAAGTTCTTTATCACAGTAAATTGTCTAACTCTTAAACTTGTTGCCTACTTGATTACTTTTTTGTGTGAGTCTGGGAAACATTATTATACTGTTCTTTAAAAAAACAACTAGGGAACTTTTTAGCCATTTCAGTTTTTTTACTGAGAGCCCCCTGTGATGTTATTTGCAGTGTTTTTTTTTTTTGTCATAGAACGCCTTGGTTCACGGGGCTCCCCCCGCTACCGCCGCCTGTCCTCACCCCCGTGTTGGCCACCAGGCACCAGGACTGACTCCTGGAGTGAATCTCTTCGAGGGACCAGGCGCACTCCCAAAGCAGCAGCGCTGCCGCCCCTTTGGTCACTCTGGCTCCGGAGGAACCCTCTGTGTCATCAGAGGAAGAGGAGGACGAGGTGGCAGAAAACATGCCAGCTCCGAACAAGTGCCCTCTCAAAATCCGTGGCAATGGCCTCTGTCAGCTGATGCTGCTTACATGATCTGCACCTCAGAACCTCCATAAAGCAGTTCCCCCCCCTCCCGCTCCGTAAAGGGCTTTCGACTGGAGCCGGAGCTGTGCATGAGTTCCAGCACCTTTTTTTTTCACAAAAAAAGCACTGGTTATTTGTATGCAAATGCAGCTGAATACTTTAAATCAGTGGTTCTCAACCTGTGGGTCGGGACGACCATTTCACGGGGGTCGCCAAACAACGCAGTCCGCCATTTTTCCCCCTTTTCCTTAGCTGTGCTACTCCCTTTTATTCTATTGGCTTTTGAAAGCCAATAGAATAGACTCTCTTGAATAGAGTCTAATTCTATTGGCTTTCAAAGCCAATAGGAATTGTCCAGGCTGTCTCTGCCCTGCTGAGCCCGCCAAAAGTCCCATTCTGCAAACAGTGCTGCACCAGTTGAGTAGTCCTCGACTTATGATCGATTGAGTAGTCCTCGACTTACGACCGGTTGGGGGTCGCAGCATTAAAAAGGTTGAGAACCATTGCTTTAAAGTATCAGGCAGCTCCCCTCTGTGCCCAGAACCAGGGCACTGGGCCACAAAGGATCCTGATCTGAGCTTCTTTTCTCTGGCCCAGCAAGCTGGTTCCCCTTCCCGCCATGTGCTAGAAAGTTAGAAACACTTGGTAGTCCAGCGCAGGCATGGGAAGCAACGCACTGCACTGGAGAAATGAAGCTGGGGGAGCTTCCTTTCTCCAGCACAGCACGTTGATTCCCCTTGCCTGCCCTGGGCTAGAAAGTTTTCATTTTTCCACCCTGGGTTAGAAGGAAAGGCTACAGGTAGTCCTCAATGTATGATCATAATGTAACCCAAAATTTATGTTACTAAGTGAGCCAATTGTTAAGTGAATTTTGCCCCCATTTTATGACTCTTCTGTCCATAGCTAAGTGAATCACTGCAGTTGTTAAGTTAGTTAAGTGAATCTGGCTTCCCCATTGACTTTGCTTGTCAGAAAGTTACAAAAAGTGATCACATGCCCTGCAACTATCATAAATACATGCCAGAGGCCAAGCATCCGAATTTTGATTGTACATCCACAGGGATGCTGAAATGGTTGTAGGTATGAAAAATGGTCATAAGTCACCTTTTTCAGTGCCGTTGTAACAGTGATCACTAAACAAATGGTTGCAAGTCTGTATAGTCTAGGGGTAGGCAACCCAAAACACTCAAAGAGCCACTTGGACATGTTTCCCAGCTAAAACAAAACACTGGGAGCCTCAAAACCCTTTTGATATCTAAAAGGAAGATAACACTGCCTATATCCTTTTTTACCTTTAATGTGTGTGTGTGTGTGTGTGTGTGTGTGTGTGTGTGTGTGTGTACAGTATAAAATAAAAGTAAAAAAGGATGCCTGACTGCCGCCCAGCCCAGTCTGGGAAGACATGTGGCTGGCTCAGCTTCCCGGGGAGCGATACCCCCACCAGCCACCGGCCCACCCATGACTGCCGCCCGGCCTGGGGAGACATGTGGCTGGCTCAGCTGCCCAGTGAGCGGCCTGAGGACAGCCCAGGAAGCAATGCCCAGTCAAGACTGCTGCCTAGAACAAGTTAGCTAGGGGTGCATGCCACCTGCCCCGCCAGCTGCCATGTGGCCACTTTGTGGCAGTGCTCCATGGACTAAGAGCCCCCTCCCTCCCCCCACCACTGACCCTCTGTCTCCAGCTCTGCTGCTGCTTGGCCAATGGTCGTGCTGGCTGGGCATCGGAGGGCTGCTCTCCCTCGGGGCCACGGTTTGTGGAAGGGCTGGTCTGCTCAGCAGAGGCTCGGGCAGGCCGCTCCCAGCGGGAATCTTGGGGCTTTCCCACAAGACTCCCCAGCCACGTGCGCCTCATACAGGTTCAGCCCGGGAAAGGGACTTCCTGGCCGCCCTTCTCCCAGGGGGTGGGTCACCCGGGCTCAAGGCCAATCAGGAGCCCTACAAGAGGGCAAGTCCACATGAGAGAGAGGGGAAGGAATGCAAGTGCCTCTCTCTCTCTTTCCTTGTCTCTCTCTGAAAATGGCGGAGGAGGCCCCAGAGCTGCAGGGGATGGCTCAAAGAGCTGCGTGCGGCTCCAGAGCTGCGGGTTGCCGACCCGTGATATAATCCAAGGTAGGTAAAAGAAAGTGGCTTGCAACCTTTCCTCCTGGCTTCCCTGTTGACTTTCTGAGGAAGCCAATAGGGAAGGTTGCAAATGGTGATCCCATAATTTCAAAGGACTTAGCAACCTGTCATTCATGCGAACAAGTTGCCCAGAGCTCA